TGGACTGCAGGCCAGAGGGGGTCTGGCGTGGGCGAACTTCCCCCGCTCACCTCTGGCTCCTGAGGAAGCCTTCTGCAGGTAGTCTTTACTGAAGAAATGTCCCTATTCTATAATGGTGATGTGGGACACACTCCCTGCGCGTCTGGTCTCAGGCACACTCTTCTGCGCACTTGGTCTGCCCCGGCTGTGGGTGCTCGCTCTCCCTGTGGGCTCAGAGTACTTGTTCGGAAGGGGCCGGCGTGGGCTAACTCCCCAGCTGGCCACTAGCTCCTTCAGGAGCCTGTGCTGGCTTCAAGTCGCTAGGTGGCGCCAGAGATCTCTCCTGGAGCCCTTGGGGAGCTGATTTTCCACCCAGTGGGACAGGGAGCAGAGCAGGGATGGTAGGGTACACCTCAACGGCTTTGGGGTGCTGTGTCTGCCTTGTGCCCCACCGTCGTGGGGAACCCATGCCCCTAATTTCATGCCCCGGGTCTCAGTTCCAAAGCCCTCAGTTCCAGGACGCGGGCTGTAGCCCAGATCAGTGGCGCGGGAATGGCGCCTTTTTAATCCCGCTCCCCTGCCTGGGCGCCTGGTTCCTGCTCACTCCGGGAGGGCCTCTGCGCGTCTCCCCGCAAGCCTAGGTCGTCTCCCCGCAAGCCTAGGTCGCAGGCGCGGGGACCTGGGCAGCTGCGATCCGATCCGCGCAATCCGCGCCGCTTTCCCCGCGCAATCCCGCTCCGTGTCTGTTTTTCCGGCGCGCCGCTTTCCGCGCAGGCTTACCGGGCGGCCGGGGCTGTGTGCTGGTGCTGGCCTCCTCCTGGGCGGGGCTCTCTTCAATGGCGCCCGGAGCTCACCTCCGCGGCGGATCCTGCGGGGGTTCTCCTCAGCTCCCGTTCACAGGGTGTGGTGGCTGCAATAGTTCCTTTCCACTCACAGTCCCGCTTGCTGCGTCCTTTGTTCTTGTTGGCCGTTTTGGTTTGTTGTTTCCTCCTCTCTGCCGGTCGGAGAGTGCCGACTTTGTGGGTGGGGGAGGGGAGCAGGGTTCTGCGCTTCCCTCCCTTCTGGTCCTCTTTTATGGCAACTTTCTTCTTCGGGCAGTTTGCTGGAGTCGTCCGTTTATCTTCCGTGTCCCAGTTCTCACTGGGACCTGCCGCTTTTCCTCCCTATTAACTTTTTTTAATGGGAGATCTTACTCGCAGCGTCTCCTCGCCGCCATGTTGCTCCGCCCCCCCATTTCTCTTTTCATAGTAGGTGCTAGTAAAAGCAGCTTCTTCACAGCTGGATGCTTCATAGTTTGTGGTTTTGGAGGGGACTTGTGAAGTTAGTGATTTTGAGTGGAGATTATTTCATCACAAGGCACAGGAATCTCATTCAAGAGGGATAGCGTGGATTGGCTCTCATGAACAAAATGTCCAGGGTCAGGGCGAGGCTCAGGTGTGACTAGAACCATCGTCTCTGAGGATGTGCTTGGGACTCCATCTCTCAGATCCTCTCAGGAAGAAGCATCAGTCTCAAGAAGCCTCTCCTGATGCTCTGAAGTAATCCTCAGGAGCCCTAGTTTTTCTCCTGTCAGCTCTGGGCCCAGAAGAAAGCAGGTCCCTCCATCTCAATTTCTCAGACACAAAGCAAAGGGCAGCCCACATGGCCATCACAATGGCCAATCACGGTTGCCAGGTCAATGGGTAGCTCTCATTTAACCTCCCCCAGATCTGGTGACACCTCTGGAGCCAGAAGTGGGAAGTTCCATGGCTTTGGGCCACATGGGGTGGAGAGTGGAATTGCTTGAAGTCCTGTGCAGGGACAGGGTGGAGGAGGTTTTGGTGGTGGGTGGTTGGAAGTGCCCAGGAAGTTGGGTTCTATGAGTGAGAGCACATGTGCTGTGAGTGAGACGCTGGCTGGAGGTGGCCTGCTTGCTGTCCCCAGGACAACCCCTTTCGAGAGAGGATTGCCCAGGTATTCTCAGAGGACGGGGATGGCCACATGACCTTGGACAACTTTCTGGACTTGTTTTCCGTGATGAGTGAAATGGCTCCCCGTGACCTGAAAGCCTACTATGCCTTTAAAATCTATGGTGCGTGCAGGGCCCTGGGGGGAGATGTGTGAGGGTGGGAGTGGGAGCAAGGTGGGGCTTGGGACAGGGGCTGCCATGCTGTCCTACATGTCACTTCAAGGTGCTTCAAAGCCCTGCCTGACCCTGCCCAGCACCCCATCCCAGTCCTTCCCACCCACATCCCCTTGCTCACTCAGTCTCCCTCTGGCATACAAACTCTGCTGCCTGATCTTTGCCTTTTCTATACCCTCTGCCTGGAATACCTTTCCCCTGACTCTGTCTTACCTTGAAATCTAGGTTGAAAGTAGCCTCGACCCCCAGGCTCTCTCCATTCTTCATCCTGTTTCTCTCTAGCGCAGAGTGATGCTGCTTCCTTTCTTGTTTGTTGATCTGTTTACTTTTCATTGAGTTTCTCTCTGAGGAGGCTGAGGAGAACGATGGTGTCTGTTTTATGCATCATGTGTCTCCCATACCTGGCACAGAGTAGGAGTTTGATAAACACTGAATGAAGGAAACTTTATTACAGGGCCTGACACATAGTAGGCACCCAGTGAATATTTGTGTGAATGACTATGTGACTGGCACATAGTAGGTGCTTGAGATATATTTGCTGAGTGAATGAACAAATGAATGAATGAATGAGTGAATGAATGAAAAACAGTTATCACAGTGCCTGGCATACTCAGTATAGTTGTTGAGTGAATGAGGTCCTTGCTACAATCCAGAGCAAGACCTAACTTTTGGGTTCCCTCCAATGCATTGGTGGTTTCTTCCTTTGTAACATGGGGACAAGATGTGTCAACAATTGGCCCAGCCTGCCTGCCCCTGCTGTCCCCCAACTCCATGTCCTCATCCATCCCAATCTGCAGACTTTAACAATGACAATTACATCTGTGCGTGGGACCTGGAGCAGACAGTGACCAAGCTGACTCGGGGGGAGCTGAGTGTGGAGGAGGTGAGCCTGGTGTGTGAAAAGGTGCTGGACGAGGCCGATGGGGACCATGATGGCCGGCTGTCTCTAGAAGACTTCCAGAACATGATCCTGCGGGCCCCTGACTTCCTCAGGTGACTCTTCTCTCTGCCCTGCACAATCTGTTCTCCCTTCTCAGAGGTGATCAATACAGAGACAGCTCACAGACTTTGAAAGTCCTTCTGTTAATTCATTTGTGACTTTGGGAACCTTCTCAGCCTCCCCAGTCTTAGCCCTTGCATCTTTAAATGGGTATAATTTGGGAATCTGTGAACACCTCCAGTGGGTGGATGAAGCTCTTTGGGTGATGGAACATAGCTAGACTTCAGCCCTCATTTACCTGAGTATTTTGCTGGGGTTTCTTGATGGGGTCCATCTCCCCCACCTGTCTTGGGGACACCTGGTAGTAGTATTGGGCAGGGGGATGAATGAGGGTCGCCTTTCACCTGGTGACACTAACCCCTTTCCTCTTTGCACACAGCACCTTCCACATCCGCATCTGAGCTACCATGGAGAAGGGGCAGGGCTGAGGATGGTAGATGACCCTCCTCCAGCATGGAAGCTGGCCTTCCTGGGCTCTGGGAATAAATGCTGATCATTGAAATTGTACCTGCTGGGAGCATGCATTTTCCACCTTGCATGTGGGGGGTGGGAGAGAGGAAACTGGGATCTCACCTCTGCCCTTGTGGTGTGACCCTGGCTGTGCCACACCTTCTCTGAGCCACTATCTCCCCTCTGTATAAGGAAGGGGCTGACTTCTGGATATTTCTCCACTATGAGGGCTGGGAGTGCCTCCTTATGTGTCTCTGGGGCAAAGATGAGGTGTGATCAGGCCATGCTATCCTTCCCACTCCCCCCCTTCCCTGGAGCCCAAGGTCAGACCCTACTCCTGACAGCTCAATCCCTTTCTCTCAATCCCTGAGTTCCTCAAAGGCACTGAAACTTTAACTTCTTGCTGATGCATTAGGGCAGTCAGAGAGGTCCTCTGAAGGGGTGGCTTTCACTTTACAGTCCATGGAATACCCGCCCCACTGCCATCACATATTTTCCTGTGACAAATAGGCAAGTTTGGCCAGGAGAGCCACACTACACTCAGAGGGAACATAGGGACTTGTCCAAGGCCACTTGCTCCAGATCACTCACCTCTCCACCTTACAGATTTGGGAAACCCCACACCCACCTGCAGTATACTTGCAGAGCCCCAGGTATGGCCCAATCAGTCTAAGGAGTGGTCATTTCCTCCAACACAGACCAGCCCCCAGGGACTTTTCCAGAGGCCATCACTGTCATACTTAGGGCACCCCAGTTTATGAAGTTCCTACTGTGTGCCAAAGCCCCAGGTTTTACATACATCCTGCCAGTTTATCCTGGGAAAGAAGGATTATTTTTTTCTCCATTTTGCAGATGGGGAAACAATTCCAGAGAAGTCGATTGACTCACCAAGGATCACACAGCCCTGTGGCCCAGGATACCTAATAACTGAGAGTCCTGGGTTGCCTCTTTCTTTTTAAAGAAAAAGGACTCACAGCTGTCCTGAATGTCATAGTAGAGCTATCATCAATGCTGGAAGTACTTACTGTGTGTCAAGCTCCCAAAGTCTCATCTCTTTCATTTGCACCCCCAGAGGAGGCATAAACAGCCCCATTCACAGGTGCGGAGGTAATAGGAGGAGTTGAGCCTGGTGCAGGGGATGTGGTGGAGCCAGAGCTTGAACTGGCCTGGTTCAAATCCTGGCTTTGAGGCCCCGTAGCTGTATGACATTGGTCATTCCTGTCCTCCTCTTTGAACCATGGTTTCCAAAATAAAGACAAGATGGCCCTGCTCCCACCCTAACCCCCACTTCCCACTGCCTGGAAGACTCTCCCTTAAAAGAAATAATGATCTTGCAATATCAGGTGAGAGGCCTGCCACACAGCAGATGCCCCATATACTTGCTGTAATTCATCATCATCATTATCGTCATCATTAAACACCCAGGCCACCCACTGGCAGTTACAGAACAGGAACCAAGCAATGCCTTTATTACATTTCTCTGGCTCCTGAGTGTTGGTGGGTGTTGGCAAAGAGTAAGGGGATCTATGTGTAAGTCATCCTTGGCAGCAAGGGACCCAGATCCAGAGTAGATCTCCTCCTTAGCAGTACCCAGGAGCAAAGGGCGGGGGTGGGCGGTATTCCTCGGGGAAACAGTCATCCTGGGGTTTGGCCAAGTTCTTTGGTTCTGGTTTGCACACCTGTGAAGACAGGGACCTCTCCAATGCTTGGCGCCAACCACTGTCTCTGGTGGGTACCTCACCACAGCTGGCTGACCTCAAGGCCTTCCTGGAGAGGACGTCTGTGTTTCTTGTGGCCTGGGGCTGTGAGAGGTTTACAGGCAATGAGGATGCAAAAGGGTCCGTGTAGACATTTTCCAAAATCTCGTTACCTGAGTGGTCCTGGCCACCCGCCCCTCGCCTGGCATCCCATGGCAAGGACAAGTTCACAGCCGCCAGGTGGGATTTCAGCTGCTGCTGGTACTTCTTGCCTGTCTGGGGGAGCATCTTGAGGTTCTTCCAGAGTTTTTGGCAGGCCTCCTCAAGAGGAGCTTTTGGGGTGTAGGAGGAAGTGGCTTTCTCTGAGTGTGCTCTGTTCATCTCTGCTGATGACTTTCTTTCCTTTGGCTGATGAAGCAGGACTGACCTTGACAAGGCCTGAAACCGAGAATAGGTGAGAACTAAGCCAGCCCACCCTCCGAAGCTCTGAATTTGCCCTGGTTGGGAATTTGGATCTCATCCAGATGTCCTGGGGCCAAGAAATGTCCTTCTGAAACCCCCAAAATCTAATCCCTTGCCCCATCCATACTCTCTAGGTAAACAGCTTCACTTTCTCCCAGGGGTTGGCAATCTTTTCCTATAAGGACCAGATAGTAGGGCCCTCTATGGTGGTGTAAGGGGTTGAGTCTTAGCAGTATGGAACTGTCTAGCTCCTCAGCCTGGCTCCAAGGTCCTGCAGATCCAGCTCCTACTGACTCTGGCCCCTCAATTCCCAACAATCAAATGTCATTCCATTCACCTGTTAGAACTTCCCTGCTTTTGTTGTTCTGTTTTTTTTTTTTTTTAATAGAGGCATGTTTATTTATTTATTTGTTTGTTTGTTTGTTTGTTTATACATGCACTGGGTACAGTCAGAAGCGCGGGAGGGTGAGAGAATTCACCAGAGCCAGAGCGGGGAGCAGAGCAGGCAGAAGGACCGAAGTACACTGCTGAGGGGAGCAGCGGGCGGCAGGAGAGGTCTGCGCGCCATGTGGGACCCTCCTCTGGTGGCCGGGGAGCAGCTGGGGGTCGAACCGGCGCCGCAGAGGCCGCGGGCAGCTTTGCAACCCAGTGCTCAACCGCTGCGCCACCGGGGAGGCCCTTGTTGTTCTGTTTTTTAAAATATGCTGAGCCTCAGGACCGTTGGATGTGCTGTTGCCTATTTTGGGCATCTTCCCTGCATCTCTGTGTGTGACTGGCTCCCACTCAGATCCATGTCCCATATCTCACCACCTCTTCCAGGAAGTCTCCTTTGACTATGACCACCCATATACCCACTGATGCCCACCACACCAGCCTGTTTTGTGTTTGCTACTGTTAGAACTTCCCTGTTTTGTAGGGAGCCTGGGGGGAGAGTTAAGTCTTGACCAAGGGATGCCTGAAGGTCCACTGAGCCACGAGAACCTGGGATTCCTTCATCTATTCATCTATCTACTCCACAGATGCATTAATTGAGCACCCTAATTTGCTGGGTCCTCTCTGTAGGCAGGAGAGGCAGAGGTGAACAAGTTAGATAGAGTCTCAGGTCTCCCACACTTCAGTCTCATGGGGGAGGCAGACAGGAAACGTGCAAACCCATAAATAAATATGACTTTTCAAATTGTGAGGGTGCTTTGCAGCAAATGTTGTAGATGTAATGGAGAATTCAAAGAGGGCTGTTTTAGGTCTGTGGGAGGGGTAGGTCTGGAGACTGGGGACAAAGACCCTCAAAGAACTGAAGGGAAAAGCCGGATATGGGAAATCTGGGGGCAAGGCCCTGAGGTGGCACCAGCATGAGGAAAGGTCTGAAGTTAGCTTGCTGTGCCTGAATAATGGCAGACAGCCTGGACCTGGGCTGGTGATGGCAGAAGGGACTTTAGGGATTTTAACCTGTTTGCCTTGGGAAATCACTGCAGGGTTTAAACTCTTAGCTACAGGATCTAACCTACATTGTAGAGTCTCATTTGGCAGCTTTTGGCCACCTTTGCCCTACCACTCCCTCCTGTTGGAGGGTTACTTTTCTGTCACATACCTGCTCAGGTGCCTCCATGGGACAAGAGGAGGGATTCTGATGTCTGCTGGATCCATGGCCAGGCCCAGAGGCCTCCTCAGCCAATGCAGAGAAATAAAAGAAGAGATCCTTATAATCTACATTTTCTGGATCTTTCTGTGGAGCAGAAGGGTCATGTGGCTCAGTACCAAGAATGGGGACAGAGCTCTCATCATTCCAGACAAACCCTTGACAGCCAGACTCAGGAGCTACTTCACCCTTCATCTTTTATGGACACAAGCCCACAGCAGTTTCAGGCCCAAGGCCCTGCCCACCGAACCTTATAAGGAGACATGCCCATCCACACAGCTTCTGAGGCCTAGGTTACTGGGCTTCATAAGGAATATGCTATCCATATGGATCAGCCAAGGTTATATCAGATAGTTCAACCCTTGTAAAAAGGCCGGCGGGGAGTTGGGGGGTCGGTGAACAAAGACCTGGAGGTGCAGGACCATGGGGGGACAGGGACCACAAAAGTGAAAGAAGCTTAAGAAACTGAAAGGGGTTGATGGGAACCAAAGATTTTGAGGGCTTGACCTCTGGGAGACCCTTGGGGGCTCCCACCTTACCTGCCCGCAGGGCTGAGTTAGCAGCTCCTCATGGGGCCACATAGGCTGCTGCTGGTGGAAGGTGACCAGAGCATCCAATGAGTCATGGATCCACTTCTCCCCAGGGATCATGAAGTTCCCATTGTCCAAGAGCTTCACCATGAAGTGGCGACAGCAACTTTGGGCTCTGTCGAGACACTGTAGCTGGCACACCCCACTCCTCCTCTTTCTGTCCCCATCCTGACCCTTGGTGAGGAGTATTACCTACCACCCAGGTTCCCACATGGGCTTCTGCACTCACTAGCCAGCACCTCACTTTCCCATCTGTAATGTGGGGCTGAGTTTCACTAACTTCTCCCTGGGCAAGTCAGACAGCTGCCAAGTAGAGTGTGGAAGGGACGGGGGTGAGGGCAAGGACAGTAGATACTCTGGGCCTCCTGGGACCCCTTATTCTCAGACACAGTCTCAGTAACCACCAGGCCCACGACTGCTGGTTACAGCTGGACGTCCCGCTGCGCTCCTCAGCTAGATCTGCCCAGACCCTCACTCTGGGAGCTCTCTGTGAAGCTGTGGTATGAGGAACCCCTTGCCCCCTCCAAGGAAGCCCCACTTCCTCCTGCTGCCCTGGCCCCTATTCCAGGCCTTACTTGTAGGAGAGTGTGTAGCCCACATGGCTGTGGCTGACTCTGATGAGGAAGGATCCCAGTGGTTGTGATACCAGCAAGTTCTCAGCATCCCTGGAGGGGCACACACAGGAGGCAGAGGAGTGAGGTTCAGATGCACATGGTGCGCAGTCAGGATTGATCCTCCTGAGCACAGAGGTCTGTGCTTTTCTGTTTTCTAAATCAATACCCTAAAACCGTTTTCTGGGTTGTTTCAGACCCTGAGATATTCAGGGATAGGAATGTTCCCCCAGAAGTGGAGGGAGGCCTCTGTTGACCTTGACCCCCTTCCATCTCCCACAGCCCCTAATTACCTTTCCAGTGGTTGAGATCCCCCCATTAAAGCATCTTTGGGTGGATCCTGATGTCACAAGTAAAAAAGCAGGAGTTGTTCCCAGGTCCACCTGAGGTCAAACCCTAGCTCTCTCATTCAGTAGCTGTGTGACCACTGGTGAGGGTCAGTCCCTTTCTGACCTTCACCTTCCTCGAGGGAAAATGAGCCCTCACCCCGACCCCCTCACCTCAGGACCAATATGAAGGCAGATAAAAAGCAATGTGAGTGTGGAGAACACTACCTGGAAAGCACTCACAGAATGTTCATTACTACTGTGACTGTTATTTACTATCATCATCTCATCATCACTACCTTTATCTGGGATTCTGGAAAGTAAGTGGCTTTCATGGGCCAAGATGGGGGTTTGGAGCTGTGCCATCCAATACAAACACCTGTATGTGGCTACTGAATACTTGAAATATATCTGGTTCAAATCAAAATGTGAAAAGAAATCATTCATGAGATGTATGTGTGCCTTTATTTGTACTAAGTCTTCAAAGTACACTAAAGGCACACATACATCTCATGAATGATTTCTTTTTTTTAAGGATTTATTTATTTATGCATATAAGAACTGGGGTGTAGACCAGAGGTACGGGGGGTGAAAGGATTCACCAGAGACAGTGGGGAGCAGAACAGGCAGCGCTATTGAAATACAATGCTGAGGGGAGCAGCAGGCAAGACAGGAGAGGTCTACTGTGACATGTGGGTTGCTCCCTGGCCAACTGGCCATTGAACTCATGCTGCAGTGGCTGGCAATAGCTTGATAGCGCCATTGTCTTTAACCCCTGTGCCACCGGGGAGGCCCTCATGAATGATTTCTTGGCACAATTAACATTACATGTTGAGATCACATGTTGAACTTTCTTTGATTCCATGTTGAAATAATATCTTAGATAAATTGAGTTAAACAAAAGATATGGTCAAAATTAATTGCACCATTTTCTTTTTACTTCTCTAATAAAGCTGCTAAAAAAATTTAAATAGCCATGTGTGGCTCACAATGTATTTCTCTTGGCACATTCCAGAACTCAGAAAACATGCCCAATTCCTTCTCTCTGTGGATTTTACAATTTTCTTTTTTCTTAAAGATTTACTTTTATTTATTTATGCATATAAGAACTAGGGTGCAGGTGAAAGGTGTGGGGGATGAAAGGATTCACTGGAGACAGAGACAGAGTGGGGAGCAGAACAGATGGATGGACTGAAATTCACTGCTGAGGGGAGCAGTGGGTGAAACAGGAGAGATCTGCTGCACCATATGTGGGTTAGCTCCCTGGCTGGGGATCATACTCAGGCCGTAGTGGTGATTATGCTGAGGCTTAACCCTTAGGTCACAGGGAGGCCCCAGATTTCACAATTTTCTTTCAATGCCCTTCATGCAAAGTTCTTATACAATATAACGACAAACAAATAACCTAATCAAAAAATGTGCAAAGGACTTACATAGACACAAGAATTCATATGGCCTACAGACATTAAAAATTTTTCAACATCACTTATCATAAGGGGAATCCAAATTAAAATCACACTGAGATACCAGCTCACCCTAGTGAGAATGGCCCATATCAAAATGAATGGAATCAAGAAATGTTGGCAAGGTTGCGGTGAAAAAGGAACTCTCATCCACTCTTGGTGGGAATGCAAGTTGGTGCAACTCCTGTGGAAAAATGATGTGTAGATTTCTTAAGAAAATAAAAATAGAAATGCCATATGATCTAGTTTTTATCCAAACTATATGGACACTAATATGAAAAGATTTATCTATGCCTAGGTATAGGGCAACACGGTTCACAATTGCCACTCATGGAACCAACCCATTCCTCTTCAGCAGATAATGGATAAAGAAATGGCGCAATATATAATCAGTGGAGTACTACATAGCTGTGAAAAAGCATGAAATAGGGCCATTTGGGACAAAATGGTTGAAATTCTAAGTAATTATGTTAAGTGAAATAAATAAAAAAGTGAGAGACAGATGTTGGATGGTTTCACTCAACTGTGGAATATAGATTACCAAAAAGCATACACAAACAAAGTATAGTAGGAATAAATCTTGAACTCAGTGAAAAAACATAATGGTTACCAGAGGGAATGGTGGGGAGGAGGGAGTGGGGGAGGGAGTCAGATGAGGCATGGGCCCATTGGGATGCTTTGTGGAGGGTGAGTGGAACATGTGCACATATCAAAGAAAAATAAAATTTAAAAATGCTTTTAAAAAGAAATTCCTAAAATGTAGACAGGTCCTTGGCTCTTGATTTTTAAAGTGATCTGTCAAGACAGGGGATTGGAGAAAACATTTTGGGAATTTTAACAGAAATGGAAGCTGCTAGATCAGGGCAAGTAAAAGTTTAAGTAACTACCTGATTGTCCAGATATTCTACTGTAAAGATTAATTATATCTAATAAATTTCTATAAAAATATGCCCTTCATGCTTAGGGTAGCAATACATGTGCTTTTCTCTACTTAGAGTTAGGCCCTGCGGATGGCTCACTAGTTAGGTTTGTTCATGTTCTCAGAGTTCAGGCTGATATAGAAAGAGCACATTAGTTACATTCCTGGTGGTTTTAGAGCAATTGTTTGGAGCACTGTGTTAAAAGGATCCTGAGGCTGCATCCTGCCTTCAGTGATTGGTGTACCTGGTTTGGGTGGGAATGGGGTGGACAGTAAGGTCCCTGGTAGTGCTGATCTGGTAGTCACTTGTATAGAAAAAGTGGAGGTCCAGAGAGGGGAAGTAAGCTACTTACGGTCACACAGCAAATCTACTGGTAGGATTCACACTCAGGACTCCATAATTCTTTTGACACACTGGGCAGAGGGGAGCCTAGATTTCTACAGTGAAAAACCTGCCTAGGGACACATGAGGAAAGAGGGTACAGGGTAGGGTAAAGTGTCCTTACTCTCTGGAGATGGCACCATGGAACCAAGCAGGAACCCCTCCTTGAGCTAGCTGGCACATCTGTGTCTGCACAAACCAGTGTAGTCGTGGAGGCAGCGGTGGGGGCAGCTGTCTGGCCTCTGTCATGGCTTCCTGGGGGTGGGAGGGAGGAAAGAATCAAGCCTTGTCCACTTCTCATTTTTGCTTTATTCTTACAGCTCTTGGGTGCCTCCTCCCTTGAGAAGTCCTCCAGGCAGGACAGAGCAACAAGTTTGAAACTGGCTTGTGTTTTTTTGAGTACCTACTATGTGCTGGCATTTTATGAACATTCATTTATGAAATCCTCCCTAAAATCTTCCAAGATTTTTTCCTTTTATTCTTATTATGCCTTTATTACAAGTGATAGTTTTCTTTCTTTTTTCTTTAAAAAGATTTATTTATGCATACAAGAACTGGTGTACAGGCCAGAGGTGTGAGGGGCGTAAGAGGATTCACCAGAGACAGAGTGGGGAACAAAACAGGAAATTCACTGAAATACACTGCTGAGGGGAGCAGCAGGTGAGTCAGGAGAGGTCTGCTGAGCCATGTGGGTATCTCCCTGGCCAGGGATCGAACTCGAGCTGCAGTGGCTGTGGATAGCTTCACAGGTTGTGTCTTAACCCCTTGCGCCACCAGGGAGGACCAATAGTTTTCTTTATAAATACAAATAGTCCCTGACTTATGATGGGTTGACTTCGATATTTTATTTACTTTGTGATGGTGGAAAAGCAATACGAAATCAGTTGAAATTCTACTTCGTTTTGAATTTTCATCTGTTTCCTTGCTAGTGATGTACAACATGAGCCTTTCTCATGGTGCTAGGCAGCAGCAGGCCCTGCAGCTACCAGTCAGCCCCACACTCTGCAGTGTACACACTTCTATCAATTACATGAGCTATTCCACACTTTAGTATAAAATAGACTTTGTGTGAGATGGTTTGCCCTGTTTAAGTTCGGGTAGGTTGAACCGTGATATTTGCTAGGTGAGGTGTCATGAATGCATCCCCCACTTAGGATGGATTTATTGTAAATTGAGGAAGATCTGATTTGTATTTAAGAAGTGAGCTTATTTATTTATTTATTTATTAAAGATTCATTTATTTATTTATACAAGTACTGGGTACAGTCAGAAGCGCGGGAGGGTGAGAGAATTCACCAGAGCCAGAGCGAGGAGCAGAGCAGGCAGAAGGACCAAAGTACACTGCTGAGGGGAGCAGCGGGCGGCAGGAGAGGTCTGCGCGCCATGTGGGACCCTCCTCTGGTGGCCGGGGAGCAGCCGGGGATCGAACCGGTGCTGCAGAGGCTGTGGGCAGCTTTGCACCCCAGCGCTCAACTGCTGCGCCACCGGGGAAACCCCAAAGTGAGTTTATTTAAATATTAAGTAATTATCAATATCTTGGAGAGATGCGGAGATAGCAAAATGGTGAGTGAGTGAATGATAAAGCTGACAGAGTGGGCTGCCGTGACTTCATGGAACACTACAGAGTAGTGGTCCAAGCAGTTGTTTTTGCAGCCATGCATGGGGGCCATTTCCGGCACACCTGTGACATATCAGTACATCGTCCACTCACACATTTTGACAACTTTAAGCTCAAGTTACACAGAACTTCGTGAACCACTGACATGGAGCTAAAAAAAGGAAACCACCAATTTGCAAAACCTATGAAGTTGGTGCAGAACCAGCAAATCGTGTCCTGCAGGGTTATCAAGACCCTTGATTCTGTTCCCAAACTGGTCCTGCCCCACCTAACTATTTAATATAGCAAAAGATTGTTGCTACCAGGCTGTTTCCACAGTGAGGGGGCATGTTGACTCACCCAGTCAATATTGACTTTCTCCTGCCAGGAGACAGCTAGCATACCCTCTGGGGAGTGGCTCAAAGGAATTCTGGGGTAAGTGAAATTAAATAGGCCTCTTAAGAAATGTTTAATAAAGCAGGGTGACAGAGAGATTAAGAGTCTGAAATCTGAGCCACACAGCTTGGGTTCAAATGCCTCTGTGTAAGCATAGTCAAGTGACTTATCCTCTCTGTGCCTATATTTTTATCTGCAATTTGGAGATAATGATGATATTTACCTGGGGAGGTACAGTAAGTGCTCACTTAATGTCGTGGATACTTTTGACTTTAAGTGAAATGACACATAACAAAAGCAGATCCGCAAATTATGTTTCATTCAATGATGAGAGGGGATTTTTTTCCTCATCAATGTTACAATGAAATGACATTAAACGTAATTGTTATTTGAGGACCTGCTGTATAATTGGTGCAGAGCTAAGCACCATATGTATGTAGCAAAAATTTATGAATCCAGTAGTGATCTAGCAATGGGTAATGTTTGCATTCTTGTTTTTTCTACCTGAGAGAACTCCTACTTATCCTTCAAGACCTAGCAAATATACCCTCACCTCCAGGCAGCTTTTCTGCCTCTTCCCTCGACAAAGCCCTGGCACCCTACTCTGAATCCCCTTTTCCTCATCACTTCTGCCTCTGGCCTAGCCTTGCCTCATGGAGTTGAAGTATATTAAAGGCTCTTGGGGGCCAGGGCCAGGGATAGGTTCTATTGATTTTTCTGGATCTCCAGAGCCCCCTGGTTTTAGAAGGGCACAAAGGAGGTGTGGGGGTATTTGCTGATGAATAATTGTCTAGTGACAAGTAAACCCACTAAGTTTTCAGGCGTCTGCTCTTGCATCCCAACCCCCCTGAACTCTGAATCCCCACATTCCAGCTCTAAAAATATTTTTTCTCTACCTCAATCTGATCAAGCTCCCTCTCCTCCATTCCTTTGCCTGGGTTCTACCCCTGCCAGAAATCCCCATACCCAATGCCAGTGGTCACTCCCAGCACCCACAGAAATTTCCTCTTACCTCTCTGGAACTCATGGGTCCCATCACTCCTTCTGGCCAAGTCTGGCCCCCTTGCTCTGTCTTCCTGAGAGCTGGATGGGGCCGAGGCTTTTGGGTTCCCCAACCTCACCCAGCCTGGGGCAGCACAGATATGGACAGGTGACTGATGGAGGGGTCCCATCTGGGCACCTACCTGGGAGTTCCCTGGGTAGCGAGATCCTCACTCAGACAGGGCCTGGAGCCTGGAGGAGCCTGGGTTTCGGTTCATGGTCTGTACGTCAGCAGGGCGGGGCTACTGCCTGAGGGTGGTTCCTGTTTCCTTAAGCAGGTGAGCCCTGAGGTGGGGCTGCTGTGTCTGCAGTCCAGGCACAGCTGCTGAAGAGATACCTTGCTCACCTAGACCCTGGCAAGCCTTTACTGAACACCTGCTACATACCAGGTCCTTGGGGGACACAGGGATAACCCCAAGCCCTCCTAATATCCACCATCTAGTGAGTGATGCAGAAGAATGAAGTTGTTTCAGAGTGAACAGCCTGTCAGAAAGAGGGCGCTGTAGTTGCCAGGACTTCCAGAGGGGGCCTAGCTGACCTGGAGGAAAGGTCATCTGGAGGCAAGTAAAACGCAACTCAAGAGTGCTTTCGGCACCAAGAACAATATGGGCAAAGGCCCTGAGGCAGGGAGGAGTCCAGACCAGCCAGGGGCACTCTGTGTGTATACAGGGCCTCATTATGACACGTTTAAAATATTATTTAATGACTGCATTGGTGTTAAGACCAATTCTCAAGTGGTCCAGGCTGGATACATATTACATATTCTTTGTCATATGTTATTATATATTTGTTATGGTATTCATTTTGAGGATCCTTGCACATATTGTGGGCTCTGGTTTGGAAGCCTGTGCCTACCAGATTAGCCAGTCCCGGATGTGAGATTCTGCCTCCTTCTACACCCAAAATACACAGGCAAAACCACTTCCTCCTCCCCTTTCTAGCAAAAAAATTACTCAGCTCCTCATAGCCAAGTTGGGGGCCTCCTTAAGGACCTATCAACTTGACCCAGCCAGTCTTGGTAGTCTTCACTGTGGACTCAAGCTGGGTCACCCCACCTTCTCTGCTGGGGTGGAATCTATGGGTCAACAAAGCCCAAGCAGGAGACACATGGAACCCAGATTCTCATAACTCACTCAGCAGCTGAGTTATTGCACCTCTCTGGACCTCAGTTTCCCTATCTGTATAGTGGGCATGACGATAGCCTGCCTTAGTCAGATGATGATGGTGATGGATACAGACATCTAACATGCAACATAGGGTTGGGATGATCATATCAGCATTCCACTGTCACTTAATCTGATGACTTTGGGTGTGGCTGGAGGACACCCAAGTTTGGGTTCCAAACTGCAAGATCTGGACTGCCTTCAGCAACTCACTTCTTTCTGATCCTCCAGGCCTTATGCAGCTCAAGGGAAGGGCTCTGGGCCTCCACAACAAGGAGCAATGCGTTGGGGAGGTTTCCTTAAGCAGGTGAGCCCTGAGGTGGGGCCCCTGTGTCTGCAGTCCAGGCACAGGTGCTGGAGAGATACCTTGTCCACCTAGACCCTGGCAAGCCTTTACTGAATACCTGCTACATACCAGGTCCTTGGGGGACACAGGCATAACCCCAAACCCTCCTAATATCCACCATCTAGTGAGTGATGCAGAAGAATGAAAAATAATTAATAATAGTTGTTTCAGAGGTTGTAGGAAGTGCTTGAGAGACCCTGGTCACTTAGAAATTTTGTGCATTGGGGTCTCATTTGCTTGGAGTTTAGTCTCCAGAAACATGGGGCTTATCAGTGCCCTTCTGGCCTTGTCCCCTGAAGTTCCACCACACAGGGCTTCAACCTGATTCACATGACCTACTTAGGCGGATGTGGTTTCCCACGAACTAACGTCTTCTGAGAATGTCACAACAGAATTGTCCCCTACTTCTTGGTCACCGCAGTCCTAGAATCTGCAGACAGACCTGCTGCCCCCAGGGGAACTGCTGGAAGGGTGTAAGGGCATCGGTAGGGAGATAGCGAGCCTGGAACACCAAAGCCCCTGACCCTTTGATGTCAGCCCCCCTCCCCCCCTTCCCCAGCCCCGACTCAGATAGTCAGAGTCCCAGGAGATGGCCCTTGGGGTAGGCAGACACAATGGTGTCTCAGCCCTGGATATGCTGGGGCCACAGAGGGCAGAAATGTGGAAGTCCTAAAGCTCTCTCAATACTGGACTTCATGCAAGTTTATTGTTCTGTCATCCTGTAACAAGATGGTCCCTAGGAGGAGGGGAGGTTCCAGGTTCCCTGCCCCACCCAAAGGAGGGTGGAGCTGAGCAGGGAGAGAAGAAGCTGCAGAAGGGACGGAGGAAGGAAGGAAGCAGGATGGAGAGCCAGAAGGAGACCTGGAGGAGGCACATGGAGCAGGGAAACACGTGAAGAAACTGCACTTGCCTTTTGGTCGTGGACTGGGTGAAACAGATGTGGGTGAGAGACCTGTGAGGAGGTGACAATGGCAGTTTTTGTCTTGATTTTGATTTTGCTCTTTTCTTCCCTGACTTGTCTGGTTGTTTCTAATCCTTTTCTGTGGGTCCCCACCAGAAGGTGCTTTAGACTTGTGGCAGGATTTCGGGCCTTGCTCTGGTCCACTAATGATAACAATAAAAGTCCTGCTTGGGTGGACTCTTACCCATGAGGGGATGGGTAACTGTGGGTGCATGATTTAGAAACTATATTGTTTGCCTTTCCTGTATTGTTTCCTAATTGTATTAAAGTTCCTTTTCATTAAAGTCTCACATGTTTTGTGTTGATGCGGTGGATAGCAGAACCTATTTAGAGCAGGCAGGTTTGCAGGGTCTGGGGTGCCCCTCTCCTGCCCTGTAACAATCCTACAATACCTCCAGTCTATTCATTCATTCATCCCACAAACATTGGCTGAGCCCCAGCTGCAGGCACCAAGTTGGGGATAAAGCAGAAGATAAAACAGGCACTGGCCCTGCCCTGCTGGAGCTCACAGTCTCAGGGCAAATGGATGTTACACATGTTCACACACAGGAGAGGCTGGTGGAAGAGGAAGTGGCAAGGGCAAAGGCCCTGAGATCGGAATGAACTTGGCATATTTGAGGAGATTACAGCCAAGGTTCCCAAAAGATCAAGACAACCCAGATATCCATCAATGGGAGAATGGATAAGAAACAGTTGTGGTCTCTCCCACAGTGAAGTATTACTCTGTCTTAAAAAGGAATCACGCTCTGATGCACACTGCAACGCAGGTGGATCTTGGAAGTTTTATACCGAGTGAGAGAAGTCAGATGCAAAAGGCCACAGTATGTTATCCACTTATGAAATGTCTAGAACAGGTGAATTCATAGACAGAAGGCAGATGAGTGGTTGTGGGGTCTGGGGACTCGGTGGGGAGTGACCGCTCATAGGGACTGTGATATGTGATAATTGCACAACTCTGAGAATATACTACAAAAATATTGACTTGTGTATTGTGTGAATTATATCTCAGTAAAGTTTTTATTCCAAAAAGGCCAACATGTCATCTTTCTTGGTACAAGGGAACCATATCTGAGTCACGTCTCTACCTGCCACCCAATCAGATTTTATAGAAATAAGGAGAGTTAGTGACTCTCTGAATAATTTTTGGATATAAGATGAGACAAAGGACAACCCTTGACCTGGTTGGGGGCAACTGGTGAAAATTTGGGGCATTTACAAGGCAAGTACTTACAGCTTGAGGCCATAAACTATCAGGACAACTTGTTCCCCACTAGAGATAAAAGGTAAAAGAGAAGCAAGTTTCTCTTGGGACACAAGACAAATGATGTGATGATGATGATGTGACATTGATGATGATGAGTAATAATAATGATGATGATAATAATAATGGTGATGATGATGATGATGATGGGGTGGCAGTTAGTCTTTTAGTGCTCACGATGACATGTCCCCCTCTGGGACATGCCTCCTCACTGGCTTTCACAGCTACCCGAGAGTGGAGACTGAATCACATCCAGCCTATAGGCAAAGAAACTGAGGCTCAGGTTCTCCCTGGTGGCGCAAGTAAATAAGTTGCAGCACTATGAATCTATCCACAGCCACTGCAGCACGAGTTTGATCCCCTGCCAGGGAGGTGACTCCCATGGCTCAGCAGACCTCTCTTGTCTCGTCTGGTGCTCCTCTCAGCAGTGTATTTCAGTAGTGTATTTCTGCCTGTTCTGTTCCTCACTCCATCTCTGGTGAATCCTCTCACCCTCTGCACCTCTGGCCTACACCCCAGTACTTGTATGCATAAATAAATAAATCTTAAAAAAAAAGGAAAAAAGAGAAACTGAGGCTTAATTAGTGAGGGGATGTGCCAGAGACTGTGCTGTGCATCTAAGGCCAGCTGCCAGCTCCCAGCTGCCTATGACCACGAAGGACTCAGGGAAAAGACATGCACAGGACAGGTGTTCAGTCAGCCTTTGCTATGAATTGCCACGAGTCATTGCACTCTCTGTTGGGACTTCGGAATGAGGTGTAAAGAAAGCAAACGTTTCCCAAAGTGGCTGTATATCAGGCATTGTTGGAGTGGGGGGCCTGACTTCTAGAAGCAGGATTCGAAGCCTTTCTGAGACAGGTGCTGGGAGCATGTGGGCATGGGGACCTTGACAAAGCTTCTGAGAGACCTTGATGGCAGTTATGCCAGGGGCCATGAGGACCAACCCTAACTCATCAGATGAGAAGGGACTGTATGGCAGGGGTTGCCACTCTATGCCTGATTTCACCCTTGCTTTGTAAGTAACAGTGTAACCCCCACAGAAAGGGGAGGTTCCAGGTTCTTCGCCCCAGGTAATGAAGGGTGGAGTTGAGGATCCAGGAAAAGCTAAGAAGGACTGATAGAGATTGAAAGACAAGAAGAAGACTTGAGAAGGCACTTGGAGCAGAGACATGTGAAAAAGCCATGCTTGCTTCTTGGCCTTGGGACTTGTACTAAGGACTTGGAGGACATGGAAGGAGACACTTGAAAGAGACATGGTGAGAGACCTGTGGGGAGGCTGGCAGTGGTAGCCGTTATCTTGACTTGTATTTTGATTTTGCCCCTTTCTTTCCAGACTTGGCTGGTCTCTTCTGCCCCTTTCCTATGGGAACCCACCAGGAGGTGCTTTAGACTTGTGGCCAGCTTTTGGGCCCTGCTTTGGGTGGATAACTGGGTGTTTCACTAGCATCATCTGTGCTTATGTTTACGGTACCAAGCAGACATTCAGATTGGAATGGATAGCAGGCAGAGGGACATGGGGGTCTGGGGCTGACTCTAGTCTGGGCTGATTTGTGATTTGGAAGTCATGACACATCTAAAGGTGTGCTGGCAATGGTGGTGGTAATGATTTTGTAGTAAACTTGACTGCCTAAGCTGATATAAAACTTCCCCGACACGAGGACTGACTGTTCATGCTTGTGCCTAAACTTACTGTACAAATGACATATTTTACACTAACTGCCTGCCTTCATGGAGGCTCGATCTGGGTGCCTACATGACCCAGGCCCCAATAGAAACCCTAGGTGATAAGTCTCTATGGAGGGTCCCTGGTGGGCACTTCATGCTCATAGTCATAGCTCAGTGATGAAGGAACTGAACTGTTCCATGTGATCCCATGGGGAGAGGACTCTAGTTTGGGCCTCGCTTCCTCCTCCATTAGCCTATGCCTCCTCGCTGTGCCAGTTTTGTCTCCTTTCACTGTCATGCTTTGGCTTTATATGGAGTCTTAATGAACCCTGAAAATGGAGGTAGTCTTGGGGACCCCCACGGGAGTGGAAGATACCTACTGGGAAGCCAGTCTGGAGGGCCCTGGGAAGAGCCACTAGGGAAGGGGGAGGCAGAGCCCTGTGTCAGGAACTAGGTGAAGTGGGTCTCTGTGAGCTGAAGGGGATGGCTCAGCGAAGTGCTCACTTTGGCAAAGTAGGTGCCATCAGGTACCATGAGAATTCTGGTGGCATGACAGGGACTCATGCTCTCAGGAAGGGATGCCATACACAGAGTAGTGCTGTGCTTTCCTGCACAGTGGGGAGCTGGAGGTAGTATCTCTGCTTTCCTGCACAGTGGGGAGCTGGAGGTAGTATCAGTTTCTTTTTCCATGTCTTTTGGTATTGGGGGTCACTCCCTTGGAAGGCGCCCTGTATCCTCGGTTGACCCACTACCTCTGCTCTACTTGCCTAGACCTGAGGCCCCCACCAGCCTGGTCAGGCATCTTTCAAACCCACCACAAGCCACATCTGTGTAGGGATGTAGGGAAAATGTGGACATAAAAATCTGTAAACTTTAAAATGAGCTTTAATGTTTCTCTTAAGTGCATTTATCGATGTAAACAGAGCATATTACAGATTCCAGGGAGAGCAGACTATGGTTGGTACATTGGCTTTAATTAAAAAAAAATGAAGAAATTATGAAGTTAATGGCTTGGACTGACAGTGGCTTGAGTGGGTGGGGGACAAAAAGACAAAGACAAGTCTCCCTGGTGATGCCCATCCAACCTGGTGATGTGGTCCCAATGCACTCTCTTCCGGAGGCAGAACTGTCACGCAGAACCTGGATGGCATTTAAAAACCAGCCCAGACTGCTCTCAGGTAAGTCCGTGGCTGGGTACCAACTTATGTCTGGACCTGAGCCCTGCAGCTGTGAGGACAGCCATGTCCAGCCAGGGGTGGCGTGTCCCCAGTCACCCAGCCTGCCACTGGAAACCAAAGACTACCAATCTGGAAAATAAAAAATCTCAGCTATAAAGAATGTCCAATTTAGACAGTGGGAGGGCAAAGAGGAGTGGGAACGTTTTCGAGTCTGAGAGGTGGGTGCCCCAACTGTGGGTAGAAGAGTCTGTGTGGCGTGCACAGGCTCCCCATGGCGCTCAGATGGAGGCGAGGCTACAGACCAAACCCCGCATGTGAACAGCAAAGCGCACCCCAACTCTGTCCCTTCTGAAAGCTTTCCACAGGATTTTCTGAATTTGTGCTTCCCTTTGGCTTGACTGTGAAAAAGAAGAAAGGGGGAAAAATAATGGTTTTGGTCACTTATCCAAAAATGAGGTGAGTGGATGCGGGATGTGTCTGGCAGATACTTGGGGGCCTGGCGTGGGTCGCCTTGCTCAGGGTGTGGAGGTCGACACTCCTGGGACCACTGCTGGCCTCTAAGGGCCTCTCTGCTGTGGGGTAGGTGGACAGGTTTCCTGGTGGGGCTTTATTTGTGTGGCAGGCAGATGAGGATCAAGGCCCGCCATGCTGGTTGCTGCTGATGGTCATGCCCCGACGCCATCTTTCTCTCTAGTTACATGTTGTGCGAGCCTGTTCAGCAGATGTCACAGGAAAAATAGCAAATTCTTAACTTATTCCATCTCCAAAGTTGAAAAAGATCAGACGGTTACTAAAATAAACAATTTCTCAATTGTGTTCTGCTGGCCATGGGCCCCCTGGACACGGCGAGGAGGGGGCGTGGGAGGGGAGGGCCCTGCTGAGTGACAGGTGCACTCATGGCAGGCACAGTCAGCTCGGCTGAGCGAGGCTCAGAGTAAGGCGGCGTTCCTCACAGAAGAACACATCGGAAAAAGCTGCTCCTCTTCTGTTGGTCTGGTGTGATTTTGACTCCCTGGTTGCTCCCCTGGGGGCTGTTGCCTTCCTGAAATCACAGATTTTTTGATGTTATGGCTGCACATTAATGGTGTTACATCCATGAACCAATCCACCAACCACCCTCCGAAGTCCCCAACCATTTACCTGGCCATTGCTTTTCATACACGCACCCACTTGTCCTTTCCATTTAACTCTCCATCTTTCACATGCTCACAGATCTACTTTTTGTCTTATTAGACTCCCCATCCCTCCACCCCTTACAACCATTCATTATTTTAATCAGTTATTCGCCCACCCACCCACCCCTTTCCATTCACACTCAACATCTTTACAATCATTTGCTATGCCTTCCCTAACTTTCTCTCTATTCATCCGCCCCTCCTTCTTTTTATCCATCTATCCATCTGTGCTGAGCATCCAGCAGTGCCACAGCTGAGGGCACCACAAAGACTGTCACTTGAGATGTGGTGGTGGGTGGGTGGGTGGTTCAAGGTCATACTCCCAGTGTCCCTGGGCCAAGCTCTGGCTCACTACCTCTCACCCAGTCCACCCTCTGTCCTGTGATGTGAGCCCTAAACTAATCGTCTCCACTCAAGCCCTATTGAAAACCCATCAGAACCCTGTAGTTTTCAGAGGACAGCCCTAAATCTGTGGCCTGGCATTCGAAGTCTTGGAGATATGGTTCCTGGAAACTCTGGGAACTCAAATTCTAATTTCCTTCCAACTCATCCTGTTTGCAATGTTTGGCCCCATTTCTTTGACTACTTCCCTCTCATCTTTCAGTTCTGAGATAAAACCTGGATGTACTGAACAGTAGCTACCAAATGCCTACGTTATGTCAGGTACTTCTATGGGTGCTGGACACAGTGAGGAAGACAAAAGGCCCTGCCTTGGAGAGCTTACTCTGCTGGGGGAAGACAGAAATCACAAGGTAAACAAATAAGTTGTGATTTCCCACAGAGAGGAGTAACTAGAAGAAAGACAGGCAAAAGGTGGTGGTGTATTTCAATTGAGATATTTAAAGAGAAACTCACAGAATGAAAGAGTGAGAACAGGGATGGTTCAGGGTGTAGTTAGCAGGATAACTACCCCTAAAGATGTCCAGCTCTTATCCCTGGAAACTGTGAGGACTATGATAGGTGATAGGAGACATGCAAGAGGGAATCTGTAGCTGGAGTTAAGATGGGATAGGGGGAAGAGTACCCTGGATCAGCCAGGTGGGCCCAATCGAATCCCATGAATTCTTGGAAGCAGACTTTCCCAGTTGTGGTCAGAGAAAGAGAAGTCAGAAGTCAGAATGGAAGCAAGTGGCTGCTTGAGGATGCAGGGAGGGGTCAGAGGCTAAGAATGAGGGGGCTTCGAGCTGGTCCAGGCCAGGACATGGATTCTCCCTGGGGCCTCCAGGAGATGCAGCCCTGCTGACACAAGATCTCCTGCAAGAATCAAAGAATTCCTGACCTCTAGGTCAGGACATTAAGGTAACCACTGTGTGTTACTGAAGCTGATTAGTTACGGGGATTTGCTCAGGCAGCCCCAGTTGGAGAAGAAAGTCCAAACAAACATGGGGTATCCAAACAAGAAAAAATCAGCATGGCTGAGCCTGAGGGGAAGGAAAGAAGTGGCAGGGTGACAAGGTGGAGAGGGCAGCAGTGGCTGGACCTCGAGGCTGGATTGTCCTGGCTGTCTTCTGCACTCAGTGTGCTGAGAGGGAGTGCCCCCCAAATCTGTTGGAGAGGAGCCATCAGCAAAGCCCAGTTTTCTGCGATGTTCTCAAGAGAGAAGACAGACTGGGCAGAGCTGGCCACATCAGTGATGTAAAGGACATATACACACTTGCAAGCAGTAGATAAGTAAGTTCTAGAGATCCAACGCATATCATCGCAATCATCACTCATGCTAATAATACTGTTTATGGACTTCAGCTTTGCTAAGAGACTAGTTTTATTTTTCCTAGTTAAAGTAACACTGGTTTATAACATCATCTAGGCCTCAGCTGTACAACCTTATAAATCAACATCTGTATACACAAAATTCTATTTGCTTCTATCCTCTTGTTCTCAATACACAAGAAAAAATGATACAAGTTTCTCCCACTCTTCAAAAGCAGAGCGTTCCTATTTGGAATAATTTAGTAGGATATTTTTTGGGCCTGGGAATACTATTATTATTAACATATATGGGAAAAATTTTGAGCATTCCCAGACCCACAAAGTAACTTACTAAATCATATCAAACAGCAACATTCTACTTTTGGAGAGTCCAGGAGGTGTTTGCTACCAATGCTGCTGAGCAGGTAATCACAGCACATAAATAGATCAAACCAACAGAATGCACACCTCACAGTTACACAATGTGGTTATTATTTGTCAATTATATTTCTTTAATAATAAAAAAGGACAGATATGAAATGGTATGGGGGCAACAACTGAATATAAACAGTCGTGGGAGGAAATGGTAGGAATTTAACTATTGATGATTTGCACTTCAGTTAAGAAGAGACACCATTCTATTTCAGAGCTTCATTATCTGTGCCTTGGAAGGATATGGCCCATTCTGGAGGCAAATACAGGCTGATTGCAAAAAGCACTGTAATGCATACTGTAACTGCTGGTGGGCAAAAGTAAGCTGGGAGGATTGCTAAGAATCAAAATTTTACTTTATGTTGAAGAGGAAAAACTTTTAAGAAAATGACATATTGTTACAGTGTTCGGTTTACAAGCACTGCTTCCTGTTTTGGCCAAAGAGTTACTACTAAACAGAGCAAGTGCTTTACCATTTAATTCACAGCATCTTACACTTAGGAAAACACGTTTCACTGCAGCACTATTTACAATAGACAAGCTATGGAAACAACTTAAGTGCCAACGACTGATGAGTGGATTAAGATGTGGTATATACACAATGGAATATTACTTAGTGATCTAAAAAGATAAACTCATGCCATTTGTGGCAACATAGATGGAACTGGAAGGGATTATCCTAAGTGATAAGCCAGAAAAAGAAAGATACATATGAAATGTTTTCATTTACATGTGGAATATAGAAAAATTAAACAATGGATCAGACTAAGACAAACTATAAAACTGACTCCTGAAAGCAGACCACATATTTGAAGCAGTAGGAGGGAAAGGAGAAAATAGGGTAGAAAATAGGGGGTGGGGAGGGAAATTAGGGCAAAAAATAGGGGGTGGGGAGGGAGAGCACAATGGACTATGGTGATGGACTCTGGTACTCTGGTGGTGGGAGAACTAAGGTGACCACACCTGAGGTGAGAAATCACATACTGTGAAAAAATTTACAAGGATGTAAAGTAAGAGTACCCAAAAAACCCAAACCAAACCAAAACAACAACAACAACAAAACCTTAAAGATAAAAAAGAAATACTACTTGGCTATTAAAAAAAAAAAAAAAAAAAAAGGAACTCCTGCCATTTATGACAACATGGAACTGGAGGGGATTATGCTAAGTGAAATAAGTCAGACAGAAAAGACAAGTCCTGGATGATTTCACTAATATATGGAATATAAACAACAAAGCAAAGGAACAGACCAAAGCAAAACAAACACTTGAAACTTGATTGCAGAACTAAGGCTCCCAGAAGGAGAGGGTGTGGAGCACAGTGGGGAGGAGGGCCCGATGGACTGTGGTAGAGAATTATTTGTGCTCTGGTGGTGGGTGTTTTAACATTTTTGCACAAGTGTGAATACATACTCCTAATACATACACTATTTCAGTAAACATAAGAAAAAAAATAAAATATACATTACAACTCAGGCATGAACTACATGAATGATGTTTTGTATTAGATGTGAAGGACCAGACGTAAAAGAAGCCACAACAGAGCTTTAGTCCTATACCAGATGAGTGGAGCACCACTTGGTCAGAAAAAAGACCCCTGGATTGGAGGTGCCAGAGGAGACTCACGACAGTATTTATGCACTAAAACACCCAAGTCCGGCTCTGTGCTCTGGCCTGACCAGATGGCACTCGTAATGCCAAGGGCTGGGAACTGTGAAACCACACAAGTGGTATTAATAAAAACAAAAGTGGACGTGGAGGGTTTCAGACAGGGACTCCCAAAGGTGTCAGAGCCCTCGAGGTGTCCAAAGGCAGGAGACCCAATTCAATCTGCAGAATATGGGCCTGATGGGGAAAAAAGGCAATCTGGCCTACCCAGGAGGAAAGGCCAGTGGCAGTCAGACACAAACTTTGCTGGGGCCTGTTAATCAGTGGGGACTGAAGTCTGGATCTGCCTAGCGGCTTTTCTGCAGCAGGCTGGTCTTCTTGCACACTGGTCTCTCTAGGGGATGAAAAGTGCCATGTGTCCCCTCCCAGTCTTGCCTGCCTGGGCAAAGCCTGGCCCTGATCAGCTCTGGATCATGGAGGAAGGACAAGTAGACGAGCATGTTCAGGGCCAATGCCATGGCCATCTCTCTCTTAATTCTTCTTCTTTCCTGGTGATGTCCTACTGGGTCCAGCATGTGCCTGAGGGGGCATCATACCACTGAGGCTGAGGCCAGTCATTTCCAACAGGGACCCATGCTAGGATCCTGAAAGGACATACACTCACCAATTTTTTGTCCATTTTTGCTTTGATGTCTCTGGCGAGAGTGAAAAATGCCTGTGAAATAAGCACATCGTTATGCCACTGGATGATGGGAGAAGACAGGGGCCTGCTTGTGCTCTCCTGTACTGTGGTGTGGGCCTGGCTATGGAGTGGGCACTAAGGGGACAGCAGTAATCCCAGGATGGTTTCCCTTAGGCCATGTAACACTTACTGCGTGGCCTTAGCTGCACTGTCCAGCCCCATCTCCTGCCCTGACCAGGCTACTCCCAACCCAGATGGCCACCTCCCTTCAGCCAACATCTGTGGCAGGTGGGACTGTTCTCGATTGGCCAGAGAAACTGAGGCTTAGAGAGGGTCAAATGACTTGCCCTAGGCAGTTGGTGGTTTATTGGTGAAGTAAGAATCTTGTCTTCTTCCCAGACTACTGTACTATGTCTACTCACTTTTATCCCCTTCTGAGGGTCAGGGGCAGGACAGAGAAAGACAAGTGGCTCTTAGGTCAAAAAAGCTTCACTCTAGGTCTTGGCCTAGAATGTAGGCCTGGAAGGGAAGATAAGATGAAGATTCATTTTCTCAGACATGGGGAAAGCTTGAGCTGGTCTGGCCCCAGGCTGTTGCCTCAGTTGCAGCCCCTTGACCATTTCCTCCCTTCTGTCATCTGTTCCTTTAATGGATACTACTAAACCCCACTTTGGCACCCAGCCTACCCCTGGGTCTCCTGTAAGTTTTTGCATTTGAGGGGCTCCTGGCTTGGTAAAAGAGCTAGAGCCTCAGCAAACACCCAACATAACATGGAAAGTTGTCATGGAGAATGGCTTGGGTGTTTGGGATGCCTAAGTCAGGCCTAAGGATCTGGAGGGTAAGGAGGCTTTCTTGGGATGGGACCACTAGGACAGGTCCTAAGGGGTAAATGAGGAGGCAGGGGGGAAAGTGGTGTGGGAGAAGGAGCAACAGTAGAAATTTGGAGGAAGGTGAGGTATAGGGGTCTGGGGTGGAGAGCCATGGGTAGCAAATAGTGACTGGGGCCAGCTAGAGAGGCCCATCCATGCCAGACTAGGGGACTGAGGTCAGGAGTGAGGCAGGAGATTTGTTTTGGAAAGATCAAGGGACAAGTGGAAACTGCAAGGCTGGTGCTATGTGTGAAAGGAAAGGCAAGGCCGGCGCTACCTAAGCCGTTTGAACTTGTAACCAGGGACTGCCTGGGTGGGCAGTGTGGCCAAGAGCATGAACGTGGAATTGGGTCCGGGTGCCACCAATTAGCTGGGACTCTCTGGACCCCAGTTTCCTCAAACATAAAACCATGGTTAAGGTATCATTCACTGGTGCCAGCACTTGGTGATGTCAGAATACACAGGTGATTCCCCTGGGCTACCTGGGCCTTACAAGAAGCCTGGCATATGGCACTGCCCAGGAAGTGCCTCTTGGGTGGATCACTGATAAGTCAGCCCTAAGTCCACACCTGGTCCTTCTAGCAGAGTCTCTGGAGGGTGCAGCCTGACCCTAGTTCTACAGGACCAGTGCTAGGGGCATTTGGGACTCACGTTCTCCACATTGATGTTGGCCTTGGCACTGGTCTCCATGAATTTGATCCCGTAGTCCAGGGCCAGCTGTGAGGGAGGGAGACAAACACATAATGCCTATAAGCTACCAGGTGCCCCTGACCCAAGAGCACCCTGAGGGGAGAGAAATAAGTGGGGCCTCACATTAAAAAAAACCAGAAACAACAAATGCTGGAGAGGATGTAGAGATAAAGGAACCCTCTTACACTGCTGGTGGGAACGTAAACTGGTCCAGCCACTATGGAAAGCTGTGTGGAGGAGGTTCCTCAGAACACTAAAAATGATCTACCATATGATCCAGTGATTTCACTCCTAGGAATCTACCCAAAGGACACAAAAACACTAATTCGAATGGAAAGCTTCACTCCTATGCTTATTTCAGCACTATTCACAATAGGCAAGATATGGAAACAACTCAAATTCCTCAAACTAGATGAATGGATCAAAAAATTATGGTATATTTATACAATGGAATATTACTTAGCAATCAAAAAAGACAAACTCATACTGTTTGAGGCAACGTGGATGGAGCTGGAAAGGATTATGCTAGCCGAAATTAGTCAGAAGGAGAAAGATAAATACCGGATGGTCTCACTTACATGTGGAATATAGAGAAACCAAATGAAAGGTCAAGAAAATGTCAAAACTAGTAAGCTGACTCTAGAACCGAGGCATTCAGCAAAGGAGGGGGCGGGGGGAGGGAACAGGGGAGGGATGAAGACAAGGGAATATGGTGATGGTTCATGGGTGATACTGTGGCAGGAGAACTATGGGGTCTACAATGATGTAAGGAAAAAATTAATTAACAATTAATTAATTGTGGCTGTGGATTTAACTTCCCACTGTTGCATGCAGCCACCAGATGAATGGCCCTAGCAGGTGGGTGGAGGACGCGTGGAGCCTTAAGAATGTTTCCCATTCTTCCCACGGCACATGCCACACAGGGGCAACCCAACTTGCCCCAGTTTGTCTGGTAATGCCTCTCATTCTAGGACCTTCTCAGTCTTGGAACTAAGCCAGGATGGCAGTTCACTTGATGCTCATCACTGTGAGGGATTCTTTCCCAAGGCTGGCCTTTCCGCTGGCGAGCACTCAGGGCCTTCTGGGGCAGGGCAGGGCAGGGCTGGCTTCCATACAGGGAACCCTAAAACCCCCAGACCCCTCTGCCCCAAAAGTGACCAGGTACCAGGCCCACCTTTTCTCCCCGTTCCTTGGAAACTTGTCTTTTGTCATTCACATCACACTTGTTCCCAAGGATCATCTTTTCGACATCTGCAGAGGCATGCTAAGGGGGAAGGGGATAAGAGGTGGAGGTGAGAGATCAGAGAGGCTAACCTGAGACCCACCCCTTGAAATCAGAGTGGTGGAGTCAGGGCTGCCAGGCATGACCCTGTACAGATGACAAGCTGAAGCGCAAAGAGGCTGAGTGGCCTGACCCACATGACACAGCTAAGGCTAGGGTGGAGACCAGGCTTCCGGCTACTACTCTGACCAAGGCCAAGCTGTCTGGCTCCTGTGGACAGCTTCTCTACAGGCTGTCAACCAGGTTCTTGTACTTGTGCCCAGGCTTCCAAGGGGTTATGAGAGGTAAGCCCACTTGCCTCCCTTCCTCCCCAACTCTTCTGCTTGAAGCTCCGGCTGCTGTTCTGGGATCTTCAGCTCCTAGTCCAGTTTGCCTTCTTTGGGCTCCAGAAATAGTCTGTGCCTGGGGTCTTGTCTTCCTGCTGCAGTAGTCCTGTGTGCTCTGACATTCCCTTAACCCCACCCTTCCACCTAAAAATGGCTTCTTCTTGTAACTGTCCAACCCTTCTACCCCCAGTCCTGCTGAAAGGGTCTGAGCTTCTCGAAGGTCTGGGGCATCAGAAGGGACCCTTCTCTCTTCCTGCTTTCATGTGGTCTTGGTGAACTGCACAGCAGCACTCCCTGCCTAACCTCCTACACACTGGGAGACCCTTCTGCCTGCTTGCCAGAAATAAAGCTCCCACAAGGCCCCATGGGAGCACTCCCTCCTGTTGAGTCAGGTCACAGTCTCTTGGCAGCAAGTACGGAGTCGTAGGGGAAGCAGCTAATGTGACTGCTCATAAACGTCAGTTGGCCTCTCAGGCTGCCCTGCTGGTCATTAAGCCCTGGGGCAGATGGTGGCAGGGACCCACGTTCCTGGGTGGGTAAAGTCCACCGGCTGTGCCTCAGACCCAGAACCCAGTCTGGTGAGTTATCAAAAGCTGCAGTTCCAAGAATAAGAAGTCTCTGGGGTGAGGGAGAGCTCTTTGGGGCGCAGGATGGTCAGAGGTGGGGAGGCAGGGCTATCCTCTCCTGTTCCCTCCATAGTTCAAAGGCCTCCTTTTATGGCCAGCCAGATGTGATTTCAGTATTGCTGAACAGGGTAGCTCAAAGTACAACCTGAAACCACCTCCTCCCACCAAACACAAGGGCACACCCATTCTAGAACTTTCCTCTTCTAGAAAACAACAAATGCTCATGGTGACCGAGAGCTTGGATCTCCTTTTCCTAAAACTGAGATATCTCTCAGACTTGATAGTCAGCTGGGGACAGGGATGGGGCTCTCAGGGCCAGTCTGTGTCAAGCCAGGCTGGGGTGCTCTCTGGGTTCTAGTCCCATTCTGCCCGTGTCACCATCTAGAGGGCTTTGGGCAAGTTTCTTCTCTATGCCCTAGAGATCTCCTTATAAACAGGGAGCTTCCAGTGAGGACCAAGGAGAGCACAAATGGAAAGTTCCCACGCAGGTAAGGGCTCTGGCCTTACCTCTTCGATGTTTCGGATCCAGTTCCGGATGTTGTCAAAGGACTTCTCATTGGTGATGTCGTAGACCAGCATGATGCCCTGGGCAGGGGAACAGAGAACCACACTCTGGACATGCTACAAGCTGAGAGGCCTAACAGGATGGGGTGACAGAGGTGCTGACAAGTCATCCTCTCCACCAGCATTCCTTCTCCAGCCCCATGTAGCCCCTGAGGTCCCACCAACCTCTGGGCCTCATATCCACACTGTCCTCCACACCGTCACTCACCACTAACCCCTGCCTGAGTCACCACCTAGGCTTAGGTAGCACTCGGGCACCCTACATTGCCCCATTGTATGGTACCCACTATGTTGCTAGGTACTATGTAGCAAGGCTTTGCTGAAGCCTCACAGGTACCAGTCAGAAGGGTACCACCACCCTCATTCTGCAGATGGGAAACCCAAGGCTGAATCTGGGGTCTAGGCTCCTGTTTCCAGGTACAACTGGGTCTTAACCTGAGGCCGCCTGACTTAGGTGACTTCCAGCAACCCCATTAGAGTTAGGGCAGTCTTCTAGCATGGGGCCTGATAATACTGAGCCTGCCAAGGTCCTAACCTATGTGTGAGCAACTGGGATATAGTCCATAGTTCCTGAAAGAACCTCAGAATGTCCCTGTCTCTGAGCCCACAATCTCACCATCACCATAAAGGGATGTAACCCTGTATGATACAAGGGGATACTGAGGTATGAAGAAAAGACTCTTAAGATTCAAGCCCAGGTAGGGCTCACTCTGTTTAAGTACCCTGTGATAACTGACTGTACCACCGGGGCTCCTGTGCTCGCGCTGAACAAGCTGATGATACCAGCTCCTGATGGGAACCTCTCTGCGCCCTCTTCAAGACCAACCAACACTTGGGGCCACTCTTTCATGGCGCTGCTCAGGACATCCTCGAGGGACCCAGGCTCCGAGTCTTGTCGGCATGTCTGCGCAGTAGCTGCTCTTAGGGCAAGAGGACTTCTGCCTCTTTATCCAGCACTGGCCCCTCTGAAGACCCAAGCTTCCTACTACCCCACTAAGGTGGCACCATGTACCCAAGATCCCAATGTCCCAAATTTTTATCTGTCATGGGTGGGGCAGCAGATGGAGCACTTTATCAGAAAAAAGCAGTAGTTGGGCCTCCCTGGTGGTACAAGGGGCTAAGTCGCAGCACTATGCAGCAATCTGCAGCCACTGCAGCACAAGTTCGATCCCCGGCCAGGAAGCAACCCACATGGCGCAGCAGACCCCTCCTGACTCGCCTGCTGCTCCCCTCAGCCGTGTATTTCAGTAGATCCGCCTGTTCTGTTCCCCACTCTGTCTCTGGTGAATCCTCTCATCCCCTGCATCTCTGGTTTGTACCCTAGTTCTTGTATGCATAAATAAATAAATCTTAAAAAAAAAAAGAAAAGCAAAAAGCACAAAGCAGTAATCATGTGCAGTGATACCAACCTAGATGGCACAGCCTGGCACACTTCTAAGCTAGCAGTACAGCCTATTGGGATGATCATCATACATGCAGTTTCACTGATAGAAATGTCTTTAAATGACTCTACCTGGAAAACACGGTGTCACCTTATTCTGGGTGCTCCTGAGACTCCCCTCAGGACACAAGTGACCATTTTTCTGAGCACCTGCCTGGAACATTCGATATAGCCCAAATTATGAAGATGGAGGATATGTTCTCTGTGCACTCCCATAAGGTCACTGTGGGGTACCTGAAATGTGGTGCCATCAAGAGGCCAGGTTTCTTTAATTTAAATCCATGCCTAAATGTTGGGTTATGCTTTCTCTGAATTTGCTGAATTGACCTGGAAGAACTGGATTCAAACTGCAAGTTGCTAGTACCTTCTATGCAAATCCAGAAGGATTTTTAATCACAATCATCTTGGAGCTGGACAGCCTTATCAGGGACTGGCTAAGGGCAGGAGTGTTAGAGAGAACTGGCTGGTACTGGCTCAGCTTTTAACCTCCATATGAACATAAGCAGGATTCAGGATGGCACTGAACTTCAGATTTGTCTTCAAAATAGGGGGTTATCTATGGTGCCCACACTCAGGGGTTAATGGCCGACCTGGACACATGAATAGGGCAGAGGTGGCTATTGCAGCCCAGAGAAGGCTGTGCCCTACCTGAGGTCACACAGAAGCTCCCACAGGCACCTGGTGCTCCTAGGCCACTGCCTCACCAAAGCGAAGCAAGGTAAGGGGAAAATTAGTAAGTAAATTTTAATGAGGAGTGCAAAGGTTGACTAAGTTCCTAGTGTGTTTCCAAAGCTGTGTGGGGTGTTCTAAATACTTAATGCCTCCATCCATTTTTGCTGGGTACCAATATTTCCTGAACTCCCATGATTCCCAGGGACAGAGACCTGACTATCACTGCAATGTGGCCTTAGAAAGTTAAATGATAGGGTGTACCAGGGAAACGGCAGGATGTGGTGGGAGCCGGAAATGGGGACATGGCCATCTGCCCATGCCACTGCCTGGGACACAGTTCTGCTCCTCCTTCCATAATCCCAGCAAGGTTATGGGACTCAGGCGGCCCAGGGCAACCCCTCTGGCCCCCGAGCACCTGCTTCATACATACCCCATAGAGTTTATGGGCCCTGGCCTACCCCAGGTCTCCCCTCTAGGCCTGGCCTGGAGCAGGCACTCATTAAATAGTTGAGGGATGACGAGCCAGGCTTCCTATCACATCACCTCCCTCAAGCCTGGGCAACAGAAATAATGGCCAACAGCCCAGAGCAAGTTAGCTCCTGGACTGGCTTCAAATTTTCAGGAGCAAATTCCACAGTGATGGATGCAGGCCATGTGAAAGTACCTAAATGTTGGGGCATGCCGACTCTGATTTCGCTGACTTCACCTGGAAGAACAGGCTTCCTGTGTCTTCCTTCATTCCCAAAGAATTAGGTTTCTACTCTACTTAAACCCTGCATTGTCTCTGAAGTCAGAAGGGGGTGTATGTACATGTGGTGGAGCGAGGTACATGACCTTTCCCTAAAACTAAGCTGGGACCAAGTACCTCCTCCACCTCCCCCTCTCCACCCTCCCACCAGAAGCCAAGCATGGGTGCTCCAGAAACATTCATACTTGGGCATCCAAGGCAGTGACAGTCATTTTGATTAAAAAAAAAAAAAAAAGATGAAAACAAAATGAAGCCGATCCATACCATTGCTCCCCTGTAGTAGGCTGTTGTGATGGTCCGAAACCGCTCCTGGCCAGCTGTGTCCCTGGGGATAAAGAGAAGGGGGTTGGGTTGATAAATGGGAATGATGAGTATTTACTTAGGTTGCTGGGGTATCTAATGGATCTGTTCCTGATTCACCCTCTGCTGCTGGTGCAGCACCCCCCCATTCTCCTATCATTACAGAGAAGGAAACTGCAATTCAGAAGGTGAAGGGGACAGCTCAGTATTGCAAAAACGTATTCTCTCTTTCTTATGATTTTAACAATATATTTCAAGTTTATTAGAATATAGTACATAATTAGTACCTATAACACAAAATATGTGTTCATTGCCTGTTTATCAGTAAGGCTACTAGTATTTATATATTTGGGGTAGTCAAAAATTATATGTGGATATTTGACTGCAAGGGGGACAGTTTAGCTAAACCCTACATTGTTCAAGAGTCAGCTGTGTGTGCAAAAATCAGGGTTTGCATGTGTAAGGCTGGTCTCTCGGCATGGGAAGGAACACAGTCCTTGCTGGTGGGCTGAGAGGGGAGAACTTGCAGGGGCCCAACTTCTTGGTAGAAGTGAGGGGGAAAGTCCTAGCTCACAGGTATGGAGGTAACACCTGCATAAGACATATCTGTGCCCAGCCGAGATGTTGGCACAGAGGGCATTCAATGTTTGGTATAAGGATGACCAAAGTGGTCAGCATGGAGTCAGGGCAAGACTACTGTCGCAGGGTTATATGTGTGTGGGTTGTACAGAAGGACCTTATTTGCAGCTAAGCTGACTGATGCCAACAGCAGGTGACACTGGTCACTTTATTCTTAGCTGTGGTCTTGGTCTAGATTGCAATAAGAGGAGAAGCAGGAACACAGGAAGAAAGGAAAGTGAAACTCCTACCTGCTGGTACTCTATCTCTTTGGACTTAGGCACTGAGGCTGCTGGGGAGCCAATATGCTGCAAGAGGAGGAGCTTTTCTGGCTTGTCATTTACAAGGTGCACAAACTGACTACTGAGCCCAGGATCAATAAGGCACTGGGCTTCATCCAGATTTTGGGTGAAAGCAGACGCACAGGTGAATACGACCCGAAGCCAGAAGGCCCAAGAAGCAAGCTGGGGCAAAACTCATGCTCCGAGACTTGAAAGGGGGAGCTGTGGCCCATCTCATAGTACCTCCTCCTACCTACAGTTTCTGCGGGGTGGAAGTGCCACTTCCAAATGTGACGTTCCTTTCTTTTGCTCAGTGCTTTCCTGCAGGGTGGGACTCTGTTACCTCTGATCAAGCTGGGTTTAGCCTACCCTGAGAACTGGGCTACAGTGATGGGGACATACTTCTCTCATTTTCTGTGGCATGGGGAAGTCAAACCGAGATGAATGGGATAGAAATAGCTCTTACAGGTGGTCTGGCTTCAGTTATTTTAATTCTAGGGTTTCGGGTCTTTGCTCTGGGAAGCAAGGTCTGGGCTTCCCCAGAAGAAAAAGAGGAAGCAAGAAAGCTGAGAGGCTCAAAAGGAAATGCCAGCTGAGGCACCTCTCTCCTAGCAGCCTGTACTACTATTCAAAAAAGCTGGCTGCTCTGAAGCCCAGATGCAGTCTGTGCCCACACTGGAATGCTGAGCTCCCTGGGCCTGCTGGCTGTGTCCCCAGAAGGTACTGACACAGACTCTGGGAATCAGACACAAGGATCTTCAGAGGAAAGCATGATGTGTCTGTGCTGTTCGCAGAGAAAGAGAGAGAAAGAGAAAGAGAAGTGGTAGGCAAGGGAGGGAAGGCCATGCCAGGGGCTCTGGCTACAAGCACTAATTGGGTGAAGGGGCTGACAAAGATCAACAACTCTTACCATATCTGTAGCTTAATTCTCTTGCCATCGAGTTCTATGGTCCTAATTTTAAAGTCAATTCCTAAAGGAAAAAAAGAAAAGGAAACGAAGTCACGTCACCATTAGCTCATGTCCCCAGCTGGATTTAAGGTAACCACTGCCAACCTGTGGACTCAACAGCCAAGGCAGGCTTGGGGAGCACCTATCTGGCGCTGGGCATATGGTATCTGGAGGCACCTGGAGAAGGGCCTGATCTCATGGAAGGGGAAGCTGATGCTCAGAGGGCAGACAGGAGCTGCAGAGTAAAGCTGTGACTAGCAGAGGGGGTGGGCAGGTCAGGTGCCAAAGTCTCCCTCTCTCTTCTCCCCACGGGCAGCTCATAGAGCCCTTGCCAAGCCATAGTCCCCCACTATCTGCCACCCTGCCCAGACCCTTCTAGCACACAAGGCAGCACACCCCCAGTGCACCTTGATGCTGTTCTTGGGCATTTTTGCAAATGCTATTTCTTATCTGTGGAGCCCCCACTCTGCCCACCTGTCATCCTTCTACTCCTTTAAGACCCACTGGAAGGCTACTCCCCAGAAGCCTTCTAGACTGGCCCTCCTCTCCCACTTACCAACTTTAGTCCCCTAGGCCCAGAGAGACTTCTTTGTCTCCCTGGTTGCTCTGCAGGATCCCACCATTGTTCCCCCAGTCCCCTTCCAACTTCAAACACAAACCAAGCCATGTCACAAAGCTAACCTCCACTCCAAACCTTCCGGTGTGCCAACAGATGAATGGATAAGCTCAATGTGGTCCATCACACAGGGGAATATCACTCAGCCATGAAAAGGAGTGAAGCCCTGACACACATGACAACACACGTGGTTGAATCTTGAAAATACGCCAAGAGAGTCAGACACAAAGAGAGCAGAGTATGTGATCCCACTTATACGAACTGAGCTGTAGGAGTGCTCAAAGGTCTTGCCTAACCTGGTTACCTCTCAGCACCCAATGCTCAGGCTCTCCTCTCTGGCCACAATGCCCAAGTGTCTGTTGCCTAAATATCCGAAGCACGTCTTGCCTCAGGGTTTTGATGCTTGCTCTTCCTGCTCTTGGAATGATCTTTCCTTCCACTGCCACCTGGCTCTCTGCTACGTTCCCTCAGGTCCCTGTTCCCAGTCACCTCCTCAGGGAGCCTTCCTAATCTGCCATATCTCATTCCCCTCATCTTCTTCTTCTTCACCCACTTATCCCCAACATTATAAGCATGTTTACTCACACCACGAAGCTAGGAGTAAAATACATTGATCTGAATTGTCTACATGGAGCTAAACCTAGTCTTTGGTCCTGGGAGCTTATTCTGAATCTTGGCCTGTGAAGCCTTGAAGGTCAGGTCTGACTTGACCTCTCAGAACCTATGACGGGATGCTAACTCCATTTGGCCTGCCAAAGCTGCCTCTGACAACACAGGTACTATCACCCCCCATTTTAATTCTGCCTGCTAGAACATCAGATCCATAAGCAGTATCCAAGTCTCACTCAATGACTGAGGCTGGAAGGGGCTGGATAGGAATTTGCTAGACGCTGCCTGCCCAACACACCCTCATTTCTACTTCCTGATTCATCTGAATGATCTCTGCAGTCCCTGCACTGAGGGGAATGTCTGTTATACTGCAGGCACTAGGAAGGATGCATAAGGATGAATGAGAGAATTGTGAGAATGAGCGCTGTGGGGTCTACATGTGTTACTTGGTTTGTCTCACTGAAGGAATGAATGGGGACCTGAGGAAGCAGCAGGAGCAGAGTCAGACTGGGTGAACTGACTCCAGGGAGTCACAGAGCCAAGTTTACACCACAACCACAAATGATCGATGGAGCTTATGCGAATGAAAACAGCCTCTGGCAAGACATAACCCAGACTGAAAATAAAAAGCCACTTACTTAATCCTTCATCTATAAGGGAAACCCAGGAGTATAGTCAGTGCAAACACAGATTTGCCTTTATGCATTAAGTTGTATATCAGGACTAAGAGGCCCTGTGACAGCTCTTCCTAAAACATCCCCTGCTTCTGTCATGTTTCACAGGGAAATGTGAAACTAAGGAGCTCTATTTAATCAACAGAGCCCAGTGCATCACTCTATCCTATCCACCTCCTAGGCTTTATTAATATACCAAATTTAATTAGGAAGTGTAAACTTTACGAGACCCAAGAGTTATAAGGCCATAATGTCAAGGTCAGGGCGAATTAAACTTTCCTAGAAGACAGAGGCCTGCAGGAAGGCTATGAACATAATGAAAAGGATACTAGTTGGGAGGGAGGGATTCTGCGTTCAAGTATCTCCTCCACCTCACTGGGTGACCTTGCCCAAGTCACATCCTCTTCTGCAAATGGAAGTCAGCCTCCTCAGAGCCCTGAAGTGCTGCACTAGGTTTTTTTTTTTTTTTTTTTTTTTCTGTCAAAAATTAGAAACAACCCCCTGAAATGATGTCACTAGTGAGTGTGCTGAACAGAAGTTTCTAATGCTGGGAAACTGAGGTCTGGGTTGAGAGAGCCATAGAGGTTAACACCACTTCCTGACTGACAGGGATGCAAGTGTTGTCCCAACATCTGACCTTGGACTCATTACAGGAATTATTCTGCTTCCTTTAAATGGCTTCAGGGGTGACAACCCCTTACACATCGGATAGATCTTATCCTCAACCATCCAGAGCACTGGCTAAGGCAGAGAGCACCTTCCTAAAGTGAAGAACGGGGTTCAGAGAGATGAAGTCCTTGTTCAAGGATGAACAGCACCCAAAAAACAGACAAGACGATTTCCAGTCCAATTCTCTCTACTTTACACCTGGTATATAATTGTTTTACAAAGGACAGCCCCTGGAGGAGAGCATGGACAGATCATCATGGGTTTGGGAATATAGCGCGATTGGGTTCAAGTTACACAGGGGAAGCAAAGCCTATTCCCTAGGTTTTTTTCACCCAGGGGATTTGGAATCAACCCCTGGGCTTGGTGACTTCTATTTCCTCAATCCAGAGCAATGCTGCATAGCTCACAGGGCAGTCCATCTGATCAGTGTTACTCACAGGTCAAACCTTTTTATGTGGGCAAGGGTTGCTTTTGTGGCATGGGGAGAAGTTAGCTCCACTTTTGTGGATGACAGAACTGAGAAGCAACAAGACAATTCTGTTTGACCACAATGTAGGCTGGCTCTGTGGTAAAAGCTGTTCTGCAGACAATTGGTATCCTGGGCTTTGAGATAGGGAAGTCAGGATATTTGTGACAGTGGTTGATTTAAGTTTCAAAATGAAGTTTTTATCTAGTATCTCCTTGGGGATGACAGGTCCTGGGGTAGGCAGCTGTCACCATCACTGTTACCCTTGAGAGAGATGGAAAGAAGGGCAGGAAAGGGCTCTGTTCTTCCTTTTGCCATTCCTTCTAGAGGAAATTTGCCTATGTGTGAGAAACAGAGAGGGGCCTAACCCCTAAACACTCCAGAGTAATGTGCAGGAGTCTGGGTTGGAGTCCTGGCTCCAAGGTGGACCAGTTGTGCTTGTCCTGGGGTGTATGTTCCCTCTTATCTCTCTGGATTGGTTGAGCCTTCAGCTTCGGGTTCAATTCCCATCTTCACCACCTGCAGACTGTGTACCCTTGGGCAATTCTCTCACCAACCTGAGCCTCAAATCCCGCATCTGTGAGTCGGAAGCATACCAGCACCTAACACAGAAGACCGAGAGTGATAATGCACATAACGCGCCCTGCACACGGCAAATAGAAAGGTCAGAGGTCGCCGGCCTTTTTTCAAGGCCAGCTCTCCACGCCTGTTTCCACTTCTGTAATATGGGGACCCCCGAAGAATCGCTTTGAGGGTTGCTGTAAGGACAGAACAAGATGATAGGCACTAAGACTCCAGCCCAAGATACACACTCCCTGACAAGAGGGCCGAGAGTTGGGCCTCAGTATCCACATCTGAAAAATGGGCACTCGCTCCTCTCCTCCCCCAAGGCCCGGGACCACCCGAAACGCAGTGGGAGCAGCCGCTCTTCTTCCCTTCGGCCTCCTGGACCCTCTCAGACCCCTTGATCAGTACAACCCAGTCGCTCCCTCAGTCCCAGACCCGGCCTTCGGCGCCCCCGGTTGCTCCCCGGCCCCTTTACCTATTGTGGAGATGAAAGTGGAATTGAAGGCGTCCTCGGAGAAGCGGAACAGGACACAGGTCTTCCCCACCCCCGAGTCCCCGATCAGCAGCAGCTTGAACAGGTAATCGTAGGTCTTCGCCATATTACACTCTCTCTCCGACGGGAAGTGCGGACAGCGCCTCGCCACTGGCCGCCCGCCCCGTCTATCAGGACCGAATCCACTCCTCATTGGCTATCGGCCCGCTGCGCGTCACCGAGGCCGATACCCACCCTCTGCCCCGCCCGTCGCGGGGAAACCTGGGCGAGGGGCGATCTGCGCGCGAAGCCGGAAGCGGCCCGAGCATGCCTGTCATTGGTCGGCGCTCGAGACAGGGCGCGCTGCGATTGGCCAGCCTCGAGGAGTCGGGGCTTCAAATGACCAAGCTGGGGTGTGTGGAATCTTTGTCCCCGCCTTCTTCCCCCTCCCCTGACTCTCGGGGGGCTCCGCCCCAACCCCTGATGGGAGGGGAAGAGGTGGGAGCGCAAACGGCCCTCGCGCGCCTAGCCGGAGGCGGGGAAAAGGGGATGTGGTAAGTGGTGGGCGGGGCTGAGACTCTTGCGCATGCGCGATGGGAAGACGTTAAATGCTGACAGAGGGTGCGCTCGCTTGGGACCCGCGCAGGCGCAGAGAGTGCCGGGAGAGCGCGGGAAGGGACGGTGGCACATACCGGCGAGTCTTGAGACCTTGTCGTCAGGCCAAGGGGAGCCAGAGAGGACGGAAGAGTTGGAAGGAACGTCATATTCGAAGCGAGGTCCTCTCAAGACCTGCCCCGGGCTCTCTGTGCTGGTCAGGAGGCCTCCTTAGATACCTAGGCCCCCACAAGTAATGATTTCAGGTGCTCAGCGTCTTTCTATTTGGGACGCTCCTGCGGACCATTCTGCCTCGAGGTCCCTTCTCCCCTGCTGGAGAGCCTCAACCCGCATCCACGCAGGTATCTGAGGCGCGTTAGGGAGCCTGGGAACCCCCCTATGGAGTTAGAAAAGTGAGAATCACAAGCATTGACTTCGTGCCCGCCAGTGATGTCACCTTTTTTTAAAAATATACATTTAATCCCCACACCAACCCACCAAGGAAGGTATTTCTGTTTTCCACCAGTTTTATGATGAGAAAACCTAGGTCTGAGAGGTGAAGTTACTTTCCAGACCCCGAAGTACGAAGTTGGTTTTGCAACTTAGACCAACAAGGGTGGGAGGCCAAGGTCTTGATCATTCTGGTTTCTTGCTTCTCAGAGATGCACCAGACTGCCTCCGCTGTGTCACCTAGGGGCATCAGAAAGGCCTTGAGACTCTCACAAATATCTTCCAAAAGATGATCCTGACCTCCCATCCTTTCTGCTTGAGCTCCTTCTTCTGCTCATCTAACCCTTGTATAGGAAAAGCTTTGCCCAGAGCCATTGACCAGTCTCTTACTATTTCATGTGACTGACCACTTTTTCTGAGTTCTTTTTTTCTTGGTACCCTCATTTTATTTGCTTCTTTCTTCTACCATCTACACCTCCCCTCTGGGCGCTATTCAGATTCCATTGCAAACTCTTTGGGTTTTTTGCGGTCCCCTAGATGTTAGTGTTCATGGTTCTCAATCTCTATTCTCACTTTCCAGGTGATCTCATTCACTCCTATGGCTACTACTATCTCCACACTGGTGGTTCTCACTAATTAGGGAATCCATCGTCCAGCCATACCTCTTTTCCAACTGCTTTCTGGGCATTTGGCCTTGGGTTTTTCAAAGGTACTTCAAACTCAAAATGTCCACAACTGAACTCATCTGTTTACACTAGCTTTCCCTGGATTACTGTCTGAGTGAAACCCAGGTTCTTGTTAACATCACTTTCATCCTGGTTAAGTGGGTTCTAAATAGCTTTTGAATCTTGCCCTCCATTTCCAATCAGTGTTTATTATAAAACACTTACCAAGTATTCACCCTTGGTATAAGGGTAGGATTAAGTCCTCACAATCTGGTCTTAACCTCACCCTCAGTTCTACCCATACTTCACGGGGCTGGGAACTCCCCCTAAAGCTTAGACAGGTTATTTTAACAAAGCCAAATCACATGTTATGTGCACAAGGATGACTAACACAGTATCCTGAGATTAGATTCTAGCCCAAGGGTGTGGGGAGGAGGGAAAGAAGACACTTTAATAATGGTGGGGGCAGGGGGATGGATTATATGCCCTAGTCACATTTTCTGCATCTGCCATCTAAGCAAATTCCAATCAGATAATATTGAATATGAAGGAAATAATTTTAATTGTATTTGGCAACAAAAAAATTTGTATATTCAGATAATTTCTTCCTTCTTATTCCATGGCAAATACTATCCTGGATTACAGAAATATCTCCCTTACTGATCTTCCTGGCTCATCTGCCCCATTCCAGTCTTAAAAATGAATCTCAGTGGATTTCCTTAATATTTTGCTTTGAGTTACTACTATAGTCTTCAGTGGTTTTTCATTCCTGACCAAATTAAGTTCAGGTTCTCATCAGTGTGGGCCCAGTCTACTTTCCAACTTTCTTTTTCTTTATATATGTAACAGATAGAAAGTCTTATGCAGCAGGACTGACTGCTTTCCTGACTCAAGCAGTGTTGGGACCATGTACTCATCCTTCACAACCTAGCTTAGCAGGACTGGGATAACAAAGGACAGCAGAGCTTTTGTATTACGGCGGTAAATGTATAAAGGTCATAATCTTTACAGCATGTCATGTTATAAAGCAAATAAATAGCACGTGCTACGTTCTTGGAAGTTATCTTTCCATCCTGTTCATATTCATTGAACTAAAATGGCTTATGTGTCCACAAACATTGTAAAATACACACAAATTGTAGTTTATGTAAAAATTTATTTGACCAAAATGTAGAAAAAGTGATACTATTACATATGATACAGTTGCAAGAATCTAAATGAAAGTGTAGGTTTTATTCAGTTGCACAGTTTGCTAGTGTATCTCCTGGGTAGTGTGATGCTTAATAAATAGGTGTGAGGGGACAGAGGATTCGAGTAAGCTAGAAGCAGGGTGATTTTTAGTCAGTTGTAAACTTGAGTCGGCCCCCACACTACTGGGGAATGTGGAATGTTTCAGTGTTGAGATGTTAACCGAGAAAGCGGAAATATAACAAAGCCAAAGTGTGCAGCCTTGTCTACAAATTACTCCATATCCAGTTTAATCAGGAGTTTCTTGTTCATTTATTAACTTGGTCCTGAAGAAGGAATTAAATCCCTAGATAAATCTCCAGTTTCCCATACTCTGCTGCCAGAGAGGCCCCTGCTGGCCAATGTATATTAATAGAAAAACACTCTTGCTCAATTATTGATGACTGGCAGTCTTTTTGGCATGGTTTCCCTGAATAGGACTGAATTCTGCCATATTCTTTCCTGTTGAGTGGGTGGCACCAGAGCAGACAAGCATGGGTCATTATTGGAATAAAATGCCTGCTTCTTTAGAAAGAAACGTAGAAGATCATGGTCAAGGATCTGCCCTGAAAATATCTGGGTAATTATGGTGACTACCATTTCCCAAGCATTCTCATGTGGACTGCTAAGAGGATGTTTGTTCTATATGGTAGAGTGTGGAAAAGAGCCAAGATGATTAGGTTAATCTGTGCTTTCTGATCTTGCTCAATAGGCACTCCAGTCCTTTGGGTTTTTTGGGCTCTAAGTGAGGTATTCTCACCCACTTTATTGTGATGGTCCCTGACGTTCTATTGTATGACCAAATAGTGCAGAAGTTGGACCCATGACTAGATATTGGGAGTTTGCATTTTGAAAGTGTGGGGTTGTCTATTCTCCCAGGAACCAAATGCCCTCATTCTTATGAAAATATGTACCCTGCCTACCTTAGGAATACATGCAACTTGAGGATAAAAATAGAGCTGAAAAAGCTGGTGCCATTTGAAAATAAGAAAGGAATTAGATTTAACTGGTGCCCAAAGCTTCTCTGATACAAAATATTTGGCCGTGTATTCATAATTTGCTTGACATTTCCAGCAAAGCGAAGATGCAATAACAAAAGAAACTTCTTACAAGAGAAGAGAAAGACACAAAAGTTCTGGAGTTTCTGTTGGAACAAGACTCTTCTGTTTTGGTTATATACAGTTAAGTTCATTTAGTGTCTGATCCAGTGTCTGATGTAAGCCCACATTCTCTTCTTTGGCCTGGGCAAGTTTTTCTGGTGAGGATTAAGAGTGGGGGGAAAAATAAATTAATATGCATCTTTGTTAAAGGAAAAAAACCAAAAAACAAAAAATGGTTTCTAAACTCCAAACTGACATAGTCAAAATGATAGCAGATAAAGTACTTCACATTTTCATTACAGCAGACCACTGTGAAATAACTAAGTACTAAGTATGAGAATCAGATATAGTGGCAAGATAAAATACAGGGTGCTCAGTTAAATTTTAATTTCAGATAAACAATTTTTAAATATAAGTACATCTCAAATGTTGCATTGATATACTTATGTTAAAACATTGTTCATTGACTATTTGAAACTCAAATTTCACTGGGCATCCTTCCAACTTGCTAAATCTGGCAATCTGAAAGTCAGAACACCTAGAAGTAAGCCACAATTGAGCCACTGAAGTAATCCATCTATACCTTTCTAGGTCTTAAGTTTCCTCATCTATCAAATGAAGCTAACAATACCAATGTGTGGTATGGGGTTATTATGAGGAACAAATGAGAAATACTTCAGAACCTATGAAGTGCTATACAGACATAAAATTTTGGTCCTACATATGGGTGATGTAATACATTCTCCCCCTAGTGCCAGTTAATTAGTCCTTGAGCCTTTGGTGAGAGAATAACCCCGTAAGCAATCTTTCCTTTTGAGCTTCTGGGAATGGCTATTTAAATTCCAAGTATAATTGTGTCATTTTGTCTTTGTATCCATAGTAATATAGTCAAGCCCCAGGTAAATTGCTGAAAGTTCAGTGAGACTGCAGGGTACATTATTAAGTGGCTGTGTTATCAGGTCTGAGATAAAGTAACTTTGCCTTAAAGTGTTAACTGCCCTTGAGAATTGTGGCAGGCCCATAGACTGTCACCAGGTATTAGTGGGTTGATAGTACTAATATCTATAAATAAAGGTCCACTTAGGTGCTCAGTTAGCCAGAATGATTGGATATGCAAGGCTGCGGTTATTTCAAAGGATGCAGAATACAAACTTCTGGAAAAAATCCAGGAATGAACAGAGAGCAAAGGAAAAAACCCACTCCTACACAGTCTGTCATCTTTCTAAGGGTATATATGTGGCAATGTGTGAGGGGAGGAGCTTATGTACAAGTTCAGGTAGATGACAGGAACATGGAGAGGAAGGGGGTACAAGGGTATGGGTAGTTTAGGGGAGGTTGTTTTGGAAAAATGAATATAAAGAGGAATTGAGACAGAAGTTTCCACTTGACTAAAATAAATTGGCGATTTTAATGCCATTTCCAGGTTCAAGAGGCAGTCTGGAAGATGGCTTGGACGTAAAAATGTCAGTTACTAGGACAATTTGAGGTGGTTGAGGTGGTGCAAGGGAGAACTGGAGAAACTTTGAAACTTGAATTAGGAAAATTTATGAAGGCCTGCCTCCCTGGTGGCGCGGGGATTAAACAAAGACACAGTGTTATCAAGCTATAGGCAGCCACTGCAGCACGAGTTCAATCCAACCAGGGAGCTACCCACAAGGCAGGGCAGACCTCTTCTGTCTCACCCGCTGCTCCCCTCAGCAGTGTATTTCAGTAGATCTGTCTGTTCTGCTCCCCGCTCTGTCTCTGGTGAGTCCTCTCACCCTCCACACCTCTGGCATACAGTTCTTGTACGCATAAATAAATAAATCTTTTTTAAAAAAGAAAAATTCATGGGCTTTTGGTCACTGGAAGCATGACCTGTTAGCACCCACATGCCAACTTTATGGGTTCTTACTAAACCAAAGCAAGGTTTTAACTCAAGTATAAGGGCAGGGTGGGGGGGGCAGGTAGAAGTTAGCATGTCAGGCAGCTTTGTTTGGAACTCAGGAAAGAATCACTTCACTCCCTTTTCTTACTGATGGGGTGTTCTTTAATTCTGTGTATGGTTGTTTTCTAAAGGCAAGGTATAGAGGTGAGCTTCATAGGTGAACATCCCCCCACAAGATGGAGCTGGATAGATGTTCCATGAATAATGCAGGCTCAGGGAACCCCAGGCACCATTCTCAGAGTATAACAGAGAGAAAACAAATGAGAGAGAACAAGGAGACCAAAATGCCACTGCCGCTATTTGAATCGTAGATCCAGACCCATACATAGGTAGCCTCTTTTTAGGCACAAGCCCGCTTGTTTTTGCAAGTTCTGCTGACTCTATTAAGCTGCTTAAGAGGCTAGAGGAGCCTCCATTCAAAGTGATTTCTATTGCAGAAGCCCGGTAACACGGTGTTTGAAAGCTCATGCCAAATTATATCATATTATTAGAAAAGAATCATGTGAAATACACTGCTGAGGGGAGCAGCGGGTGAGACAGAAGAGGTCTGCCCTGCCTTGTGGGTAGCTCCCTGGTTGGATTGAACTCGTGCTGCAGTGGCTGCCTATAGCTTGATAGCACTGTGTCTTTAATCCCCGCGCCACCAGGGAGGCAGGCCTTCATAAATTTTTCTAATTCAAGTTTCAAAGTTTCTCCAGTTCTCCCTTGCACCACCTCAACCACCTCAAATTGTCCTAGTAACTGACATTTTTACGTCCAAGCCATCTTCCAGACTGCCTCTTGAACCTGGAAATGGCATTAAAATCGCCAATTTATTTTAGTCAAGTGGAAACTTCTGTCTCAATTCCTCTTTATATTCATTTTTCCAAAACAACCTCCCCTAAACTCATTTTGAAATGAGCTCTTCGTCCTAATCACCCACTTTCTGTTACAGTCACAGTAAAGGGCATTAGAGCTACAGCTCAAAGGTGGCAAATAGAGAAAAAGAGAATGAGAAGGCATGAAGACGAGGACTGCCTGTCTTTATTCCGGTTGCAGTCACAGATATGGCTGGGGATGGCTTAAAAGATCAAACCAGGAAGCAGGAAACTGGAGCTTCTAGAAGGCCCCAGGATATGTAGGCACCACAGTGAGCAGACAGACGTCAGGACTGCTGGGACAGAAGGCAGCACCCATTTGCCTCTTAGAGAGAGGTCATGTTGAGAGCATGATCCAGTTCCTCGCTGATAGCTTTGTACTTGAGATTCTGAGCATAGAGCTCATCTAGAGGGTGGAGGGCCCCAGGGAGAGTTCAGAAGCAGCAGAGGGGACAGAATGAGAGGGTTGGAATGGAGTATCACAGATGAGCAACAAGAAGCAGAAAAAAAAAGTGAGAAAGCATGAAGTAGGAGACAGTAAAATGAGTGAAAAAACAAAAGACCTACAGAATGATTTCTGAGTGGTTTGAGGTTCTGCAGGGAATTAGCCATGTGAATGTCTAAAAGAATGGCAACTAGAGCTTCTCCCTGCCAACCTTCCGCTGCAAACACCAGGTTATTTCTGACTCATAATGATGTCACCAGGTCCAAAGGTTATACTTTGAAATGGGGCATTTCCCCTTATATGGAAGCCTTGCTTTCCAAACGAACACTAAGATGCATGGTCTGTGGGATGAGTTTTGCCTCCTTTCTTGGTGGGATAGGCAGTGTGGGAGATTTTGATTGAACCCCCGAATTCTGGAATTTAGGGATTATCTCATGAAGAACACAGGATAGTATTTTTAAAGTTGGAACTCCTCAACAAATTTGGGGATGCGTCGGCACCAGACTTGTGGACTGGAGTCTTTACTCAGGTCTTCCCATTTTATTTCTGTTTTCTCATATTCTGATAAGCTTTGAGCTCTCTGGGAGAGAGCTTCTGTAAAAATGCAAGGCATTTAAAACATGGAAGGCATCTCAGAAATGAGCAAATTTAAGGAAATTCTAAAGACTTAAAAAAAAAAAAATCAGCCAAATTTGGCTCTCTGTACTCACATGTGGGGCTAGTTAGGCAGAGATATTTTACTTCTTGAAAAATGGCAACCCAAGTCTGAATCTGATTTGCACTGTCCTATTCCAGTGTTCCATTCTTCCAGATGTGACATCATTCTGCACTTCATTTTCCCAAGACAAATGAAGCCCAACTCAACCCCTCTACAGACTTCCCCCAACTGTTTGTGGGGGTGTCAGATCGGAGGAGGCAGAGCAAACAATTATGCGGTAACTTCATACCTTCCAGGTCATCAATTGTCTTTTCCAGTTTTGCAACTGTTCTTTCTGCAAATTCGGCACGGGTCTCAGCCTAGAGGAGAAGAAGGCATCACGGTTGCTTCAAGTCTGGCCTTGAGAAACCTCAAGCCACTAGCTGGGTGGTGGGATCATACTCACCTCTTTCAGTTTGTCAGAAAGAAGTTTAATTTCTTCTTCATATTTATCCTCCTTTTCAGAATACTGTGGGAGAAACCAAAACACTACTTTAAAAATGAGAACAGAAAAAGCACAAAAGAATGCAAGCTTCCCCTTTCTTGGGGCATTGTCTGGGCTTGAATGCTGTCAACATGCCTAAGAAGCAAAGGAGACTAAGGCTCTTTCCAGGCATAAGAAATGCATGTGAAGCTGAGACAATAGATGGTCCCTCTGGGACAGTTTTCAGCTGAAGGCCTGAGCAGGCTTATTTGTGATAAAAGACGGTGATGGAGCGGATGACTGAAAGAACCATACGTTATTTAAGGCATTTCCCAGGAGCTGGCTTCATCTCTGTCTCCAGCCCCACTTCCCACCAACTTCCTCAAGGGGATGGCTGCTTCCCAAATGCATCCTGTGTACTTTGGGCTCCCAGCCCTACATTATGGCTGGATGCTCCCTGCATGGAATGTTCCATTATTATTGATCAGAAATGGTATGTCTTTCAAGGCTGAACTCAGATGAATTTTGGCCCACATTTATTAACTGCTTGCTACATCACCAGACATCCTCCATCCTATTTTTCAAATGAATGCAGAGTCATAGAGAGGTTAAGTAATTTGCTGAGAGTTGCATGTCGTGACCAAGCCACACCTACAAACTACCAGAAATTTGAGCTCTTGGCTGTCACCATGCTCTGTACCTCCCCATGACACCTGTCCCAATTTTCCAAGGTCTCTCTGTTGAGGTTCCAGCATACTCTGTTATGTTGTCAGTTGACTCCAATGGATTCAGCTCTTCAAAAGCAGGAATTGTATGACTGTTAACATCATCCCCCCGGCATTGGCAGCCTTTGGCATGTACACATGGGTTGCACTTATTCACTAAATATCCTTGTGTACAATAGTCACAACACTGGCACTGGTGACACAGCTCTAAAAAACACAAGGTACCTGTCTTTGAAGCCTACATATGACAAGGAAAGCATGTAGTTAATTGAGTGATTGATTATAATGGATGTGGTCAAATATAATGAAAAGAAGGGAGTCACCCAGCTGAGAAACATCAACCTCTCAGAAGGAGCACTATTTAAGTAGCTATTTAAGAAAACATGAGGTTATCAAGCAAAGACACAAGGGAAGGCCACTCCAGGCTGAGTGGGTAGCAGGTTCAGAGAAAGGGGCAGTGACAGGTGAGCACAGAACATTTTTGGAACTGAAGATGAATGCAGCCCAAAGCGAGGACGAGGTGGGTCTGGGGTTTGGACAGGACAGGCCACAGAGGAGCATGTATGTTGCTCCTAATGTTCTTTCCTGTCGTGAGTAACTGACTTGGGTAGTGATTCAGCCTAAAAAGCCTCTGATACCTGTTGCTTGAGGAACAGCAGAGAATTCCACTCTGATACCTACTGCTTGAGGAACCAGGATTTAGGTGACAGTGAGGCTTGGTATTTACACAGTTATGCTCAGGTTTCCCTAAAAGGGGCCTGACCAGGTACCAACCTCATGTTCCTTATCTCTGCCTCATAGGCAATGGAGATAAAAGATGGTGCAGGACCCCGCAGAACAGGAAAATCTGGCCACTGGACCCCTCTTTGTGTGTGTGTGTGTGTGTAACCTGGTTGCAGAGCACCACAACTACTGCTCACAGAGACCTGGCCCTGATTCCTTAGCATGCTCCTGTGCAATTCAGGGGAAGAAAAGAAGAAAGTCTGGCCAGTTAACTCCAACTCAAGCCAACCACCCACCTTTTCAGATGCTGCCTCGAGTGATTTCAGGTTGTTAGTGACATTCTTGAGTTCTTCTTCCAGGTCACCACATTTTCTGTGCAAAGACAAAGGGTTTCTGTGTTTTACCCTCCCTCACAATTCCCCTAAAAGAAATTTACAAAAGGAGGAATCCACACTGCCTAGGGCCCCCAGAAGGAATGCAGGAGAAAAATGTTAATAGCTTTCTCTGAGGTCTAGTGCTGTGTACTTATGGAAACCCTGTCCTGCCAGGCAAAGGCGTGGCAGGCCGAGGGGTATTTGGAAGGCTTATAAAGCACTACTGGGCCTCTGCCAGCAGGGAGGTCACAGGGTCTTGTGAAATCCATGATTGATGAGGTTGATTCCAGAAAAGAATGAGATAGCTTGGGAGGCAGGAGGAGTGCAATCAGTTTGCACCGACACTCCAGGAAGCAAGGTTGGGATGGATTTAGGAAACCAGATCTCTATCAGCACAGCAGGATGCTCTGTGGGGCTGCATTCCTCACCCAGGGCTGAGAGGAGATTTTTTGGGTTTTATTTTTTGAGCTTGAAGGTTTCTCACCAAGCTTCTCACCTTTGCCCCGTAATGTGTCAAGGCCAAACAATGACATCAGGGGCAAAGCGTTTAAACACTGACGGTGCAGTGTACTTTCCACAGGTCAGTGTTCACTTAGGTAGGCACAGCCTCCTAAAATATCCTATCTGGGACAGTGAGATTTTTGGGCTTTTCTGCTTCTGCCTGTCTCATTTCTATTTCCCAATATTCCTGTGGGATGAGTCAACACATGGGCAGCACCTCCCAGGGCCGTAAGAAAAAAAGTTGCCATTTCTCTTTGCTAGGCATGGAGGTATGAAAATTAACAGACAGAAATCCTACTGAAATGAGGTCAGAAGGTTGAAAGAGCCCTCATGCACAGCTCTTAGCAAACTACAGGACCCAACATGCTTGATCTCTGACAGGAAGTGATACTGCTTCCAGACCCAGGAGGAAGGAGGCATCTTTGAACCAAGCCCCTTTAGTTATTTAGTTCTAGGGGAGGGCACTCGTGTGTCGCCATTAAGACTGCACTTTCCTAATTGCTCTTTTGTTGTTGCCAAATAAACCCATTTTGGTTGGAGGTTGAAAGAGCAAAGAGATCGCTCAGGCAACGAGTCCTAGAGGCCTATGCACCTGACCTATAAGTTCGGAGTCAATTCCGAACAAAACCTACTCCTCTCTCCTGCTTTGCTCCAGGAGCTGAGCCTTGCTACTCACAGTTCAGACACCTCAGCACGCTCTTCTGCCCTCTCCAGTTCACCCTCCAGGATGACCAGTTTACGAGCTACCTGCAGAGACAGAAAGGATTGAGATCCTGATCCCCAATAGCCATGGCTAGCGGGTACCCTCCCGCCTGAATACAGAGAGGCTGCGTCCAGGCTACCTACAACATGGAGCTTTCTGCTGATTTTTCATCTCAGATAGTCATGGGGAAAATCTAAATTTTCTCCTTCAGGTCCCAGGAGTGGGGCAGGAAAAGATGAGATCATGGAAGCAGGCAGAAGGGGGACTGAACTTTTGTGGTCTGAAAGCCCACAGCTGAGAACCACAATTCTCAATTTTAGCCAAACTGCCAAAACACCCTGCTGTGCGACAGAAAATGATCATCGGTTGGTTTCCCCAGCAGGTGTTACAGAGTTCCGCAGGACTTTTTGGCATTGGGGAAGACAGTTTTCCAGCCAAGTGTTCATCTCTGGAAAAACGGATGTGGACACAGAAAGACAGCTGACCTAACCAAGAGCTTCCTTTAGGCGGTCCCATGGGCCTCCCTCTCGCAGATCCATTTCCTCCTTGCTTCCTGCTGCTGTCATCTACCAGCGCCACTCACCTCCTCGTATTTACGGTCAGCCTCCTCAGCAATGTGCTTGGCCTCTTTGAGCTGCATTTCCTGAATCTCCATCTTCTCTTCATCTTTCATGGCCCGGTTTTCTATCACCTTCATTCCTCTGCAAAGAGCAACACTGTCATTACTCCACACACACACTTCTGCCTCACCACACACCTCACTTCTCTGACATCTATCAGGAGCCAGACTCCACAGAACTCACTTCCCCTTTACTGAACACTGGCACTAAGTACCTTAAACTTCACAACTGCCCATTTGACAGAGGAAAAGACAGGCACTGAGAGGCTGAGTAACTTGCTCAGGTTAGGAATGTGCTAAGAGGCAGAGCTGGGCATCAAGCCCCAGTGGTCTGGCTGCAGAATATGTGCTCCTCTAGCTCCACAATGCTTCTCATCATCTAGGAAGAAGGCACAGAGTGTGCCAACCATGTGAGCAGAAGCCCGGGCCACTGTGGCTGTCCCTTCTGGAAGGCTGTGATGAATTCTGCCTGTGTGGGGGAGGGGGTGCTTATGCCTTCCAGAAGAGAGTCCACAAGCGAGTGAAGAACAGAGGGGTACCCTTCAGTGGGAGTGCTAAGAGTGCCCCAGAGGAATGGAAGAACATGGGTGGCTACAGCACAAGCTGGGTACCCAAAAGACATGCTGACGGTTTCATGCTGAAAGGCCAGGGGACCACTGGCGGGTTTCAAACCAAAACAATGGATGGATGGATTGCAGTGGGAAACCCAGGTGACAGGCAGGCACCAATGTGGTGATGGGGAAGGAGGAGCTAAACTAAAGTGGATACATTCAGTCTGGAAAGGAAGGTGTCTTGGGGACAGCTGGAAGTGTACAACTCAGCAGGCCTTGAAATGAGTTTTCTCTGGCCCGTGGGGAGGACTAGGTAAATCAGACACCACTAAAGAGCAACCCAGGATTATGTAGCGGTGCATCTCCTGTTTGCCTAGAGGGCCACATACCTCTTGCTGTGTAGTAAATACTTCCATCTGGGCAGTCACTACCATTCTCAGCTGTCAAGTACCCATCACACTTCTACAAGGTCTCACCCTCAGCGTGTGAGCAAGCTCAGAAAGCCCACTGCAGTACTGGAGAGAAGAAACTGACCTCCCTAAGACCACACAGTAAGTGCAGTGGGAGGACCCCAAAGTATAGAATTCTTTCCATCAAAACTGTTTCCAACAAAAGTTGGGGGTCCTTCTCACTCTTTAGGATTTGCTGTGGGGAGTTACTGGAAGTCAGACATCCAGCCACTTCTGCTGGTCTGATTATGAATGTGGGCAGCGGCTAATCCAGGCCCCAGACAGCCTTGAGCAACCCATGGCCAGATTCTCCACACTTCAAGGGGGCTGCCTGAGCCACTGCCCTCTCCTATTAAGTGCCTGAAGCAGGAACTGCACTGGAATTTGTGCTCTGGAGACAGTCCCTTGTTCTACTGGACTCAAAGAAATCTCCAATTAGGCAATTCTCAGTGAGCCCCCAACATTCCCCAGTTGCTTTGTAACCTCCAGCTTATGATCATAACAACATACTTAGAAATGAACCCTTTGGAGATCATACCAGGAAGCTGGTGGATGGTGAATTCTGTGTAACCATGTAGTAGCTGTGCAGTGACCACTTGCCTGGCCCATGCTGCTGCCACACCGAGACCCAGGGATACTACATGGTGATGGCTGCTTTTGTGAATTACACCATCTGCCCTCCAGAGTCCATGCCCAGGTGTGCCAGAGAACCAGTTGGCTCCAGAGAATGGAGAGCTCTGTTGCAGGCCTGAATGTACAGTTGCCCAAGGTCTGTCCGACAGCACTATTCATCATTCCACGTATCCATTTCCCCCCTGCATCTCACATCACCCTGGAAATGGATGTGTCTAGAACATCGATAAGGTGTGCTATGGCTTCCAGAGAGAGGGTGTGGTCATGCAGCTGTACACACGTGCACACATGCAAGTCCACGTGGCTTCATTTACTCTCACCCTAGCCCCGGGAGGTCCCAGTACCATCCCCATTTCCTTGAAGCAGGCACTTAGCTTCCTTACCTCTCACTTTCATCAGCAGCCTTTTCTGCCTCCTCCAGCTTCTGCAGGGCTGTGGCCAGGCGCTCCTGAGCCCTGTCCAACTCCTCCTCCACCAGCTGGATGCGCCGATTGAGAGCTGCCACATCTCCTTCGGCCTGGGGAGGTCAGAGGTGCAGCCAGGTTAAGTAACATGCCAGTCAGTGGTGGGAGCCCCCACTCACATGGCACCCTTTCCCTTAGCTAACAAGCTACCCATGCCCCCAAAGCACACCCAGGAGACCAGGCAGCAAGGAATTCACATCCTCTTGTCTGGAGAATGTGAATTTTCCACATGATCTTTTCTGAAACCATAGGGGAACATCTGATACTCAATGATAAACAGGATGGACAGTCAAATCAACAGAGAGACAAGGACACTGTATGTTACAGACTCCGGCACTGGCCTCTCTCTGGGATTCCTGAAAGTAAGATCATGGGTGACCCGGCTCACCCAGTCACCTGAACGATGACAATGCAAGAATACAGAAGCCTCAGTTAAATGTTGATTATGGAAGCCTCAGTCCATATAATTGGTGGTCATGCTGGCAGGGCAGGCCTGAGGGAAAAATGTCCTTCACTATTTCTGACTGAGAGATGAGGGAACAGAAAGATAAAAGAGAAAATTTGGTTTCTTCACACACCTATGAGGGCCGTACTAGAAGGGTACCCACCACATGGGAAGTCCCACAAAAGGGCAGTTCTTACCACTGAGATTTCACCTTGTTTTATTCTGGCCTATCTCACACATTTTAAAGGTGGGAAAATGGAGAGGCACATTGAGATTTAGTGTCACAGAGTCATAATGGCCACCTAAGCTCTACTCAAGTTCCCACCCTTTCTGAACCTACACCCTGAATCCTGCAGGGGAGCTGAGGCCAATCACACTTTGGAAAGAATATTAAGTCAGTGAAATAGAGCTCCACGGAGGAGGGAAGTGCAAAGCCACAGTGATTTCTTCACATCAAGATAAACTGAAGAATCTTGAAATTGGGGAAGGCTATAAAAATTTGTGGGAAACCACTCCTTCCCCTGCCCCCAGAGTTTATACAGCAAAAAATAGGGTAACAGAATGAGGCCAAAACTACTACAAAACACAGGGATGCCTCAGCTTGAGTTCTAGCAGCAACTGGAGGGAAAACTCTCACAGGTGTTTCTGGTCCAAATTTCCTCAGAAACACCAATTTGGAGAATCCACTAAAACCGCTGATGAATTATTTTAAGAAATGTCACCTCTCCTTCCAATGAGCAGATATCTTTCACTCTTTTGTAAATGATATGGCTCTTAACTCCTTCAGCAACTGGAGCCAGAAATTGATTCCCCTTCCATACCCCCTTCTACAGCAACTGGAGCTAGTAATCAATTCCCCTTCGATCCCCTGCCCCACAACTGTTTTGAGTCTATTTACAATATTGTGCAATCAATACTACTAATTCCAGAACATTTCCATTAGTCCAAAAAGAAAGCCCATAGCCATTAGCAGTCACGGAATTGATTTTTAAGATCATTCAGAAAAACAAAACTGAGCCACTCCTTTTGCAGGGAACTCTGGATCCCGACAAGCATGCTTTTGGCATACATTCAACTGTCTGGAATTGAAAAGGCTCCAAGACATATTCATTTATGTACACAAGTACATATATATGTACTTTTGAAAAACTGCTAGTCACTGCTAGTCATTTTGGACTCCACCCCTTCCTGCAATCAAAGCCTCTACACTCTACAAAGGATTTCCCTTATAAGGTAAAAGAGGCTAGCTAGATACATGTGGCAAAGGAACAGGAAGATGTCGGTTAATCACACAAAAATCTAAATGAAACCAGCTGTCGGAAGACAGTCCCAGAAGTCTGCCACACGCCTGCTCTTGGCTTTCTCTACAAGAGAAAGCACCCTCCTCCCCACCCCCCTTTTCTGGGTGCAGTTTCTACCCAAGAACTTTCTTCAGTTTTCCTCCTCCTGACCAAAAAGGAGAATGCTCTGAAAATCAAACTTTTGAAGAAGTCACAACTTTTCCCAAAACTTTTCCTGTCCCACTCCCAAGCTCTGGCTGGTGGCAAAGGGCCATTTTTATGCAGAAGTAATTGTCCTCCAGTGAGATGACTTGGGATGAGATCAGAGGGTTATGCTGGTTACTTGTATGAAAGAGGCCAAACCAGCTACTGTTTGAGGCTTACACAGAGTTCCTGAGCCCGTTTCATGCCAGAGCAGCCCTTATAGGATTAAACTCCAACTCAGGCCAAGGCTCTTCTCCAGATCTGTCACTGCACACAATTCTGCCTGGCCAGTTATCTTTTTCCATTTCTGGGGTCTCCACCCTGAGTCCCAGAGCTCCAGCTTTCAAGGACCCTAGACTTCCAGGGGTTCCCCAACTTGCCTGCCTCCGAGTCTTTGCCCAGTCAGATAGCTGGTCCCATCAAACTATTTTATAGGAACCCCCTCAACCTCCATCTTGAAGCCTCTGCCCCAGGTGGGCTTCTTCCCTGTCTTGCTCCTATAACAAAACAAGGACTCACCCCCCCCCCACCCCAATCCATTAGCATTATTTTTCTCCCTTACCCCCACAAGACTGTGAGCGCTTCTGGGGGTAGAGGAAGAGTACGAAAAAAACAAAAACCAAAATCAAGACTGGAACATCCACTATGTGCCAGATGCCAAACAGGAGGTTTTACTCCTAAGGCCTAGGGGTAGACAACTCGATTTTAGAGACGGGAGCTGCATGATCCTAGGGGTTAAGAACAAGCGGTAGGAGAGATGGGATTAGATCCCCGGGTTCCCACCATCTGCCCCGCTCCGGGGGGTGGGGCAGGGGAGGGAGGGTGGGGGGAGTACGTAGAGACGCCGGTGAGGCCCCCACCTCCGAGATCTGCCTCTGGCCTCGCGACGGAGGCAAACTAAAGGGCCGTGAGTCCAGCGCCCGGCGCAAACATTCCAAGGGTCTGCAGGACGAAGGCGGGGCTCCTCGGCCCGGGGTCCCTCAGGGACCAGCTGGGAAGGAATGTCCAGGCCGGCGGCTCAGGATACAACTTCCGCCCCCCACCCGCCCCCCAACCCTGGAGCGGACACGTCGCCCCGCCGCCGCCGCGCCCCAGGGAACAGCTGGGAAAGTTCGGCAGGGGCTGGGAAGCCACCGAAGAGGCGAGAAAGTGCAGTGGCCCCATAGTCCGTGGCGGCTAGTCCAGCCCTAGACAATGGAAACTCCACGTTTCCACGCTCACTTCCCGCTCCCGGGGCGTCTCGCCCTCCACCCCCTACCCCGGCCCCGCCAGCGCCACAGCCCGGAGTCGGAGCGCCGCGCGGAGCCCCAGCCCGGCGCCGGGAGAGCGCGCCCCTCCCGGCCCCCTCCCCCCCCTCCCGTCCGGCCGGCCCGCCCGCCCCAGGTGCGCCCCCCACCCCGTTCCGGGCCGGGGAGGGGGGGGATGGAGGCGAGGTGGGGGCTTCGGCGGCCAGGCCGGGCGCCGGCCCGCGACGGGGGCGCGAGGGCGGGCGGATGGGGTGGGTGGGGGCGACGCCGCGCGAGGAAGGGCGAGGGGAGCGCGCGCCGGGGCGGCGCGGGGCCGGGCGCGGGCTCTCACTTTCTCGCGCCGCTCGCGCTCGCCGTCCAGCTCCCGCTGCAGGCCCTGAGCGCGGTCCTCCGCCTCGTCCGCTTGCTGCTGCAGGGCCTGGATCTTGCGTTTCACCGCCTCCAGGGAGTTGAGGCCGGCCATGGCGGGGGGCGCGGGGGCGCTCGCGGCGGCGGCGGGCAGCGGGGGAGCGCGGCGCGGCGCGGCTCGGCTCGGCTCCGGCGAGAGCAGCAGCGGCCGCGCCCCAGCCCCCGAGCCTTTGCCAGCGCCGGGGCCGCCCCCGCCTCTCCCCGCCCCGGCCCGGCCGTCGTGGGGCGATGAGGTCACCCGGCCTGACCGCCGACGTCAGCACCGCTGGGGGAGGGCCTGACGTCGGCACCGCTGGCCGCAGCTGCTGGAAGGGGCCCCTTTTCGGGACTTATTTGGAGAAAGCACCGGGAGGCGCCACCTCCTCCAGTTCTTCCTCCTCCTCCTCCCTCTTCCTCGGGTGCCGCCTGCCCGGGGGCCCCGCCCAGGGGTTCCCTGCTGGCCCCGCCGCGGGCCCCGCACTACTGCGCACGTACGTCTGAGGCTTTCTTCTCCGTCAGTTCTAGTTTCTCCTGCGCGTCCTTCAAGTTCTCGGAGTGTTTGTCCAGCTCGTCCTCTGTCCCCTTCAATTTCCTCTGGAGATGCGTCAGCTCCTCCTCCATCTGGGGACAGATGGGGGGAAGATGCGTCAGCTTGGGAGGCATTACCCACCCCCCCGCAGTGCAGGAGGCCCCCACATGTAGGAGAGTTCTCTGTGCAACTCTTTCTGAACCTCAGTTTCCTCATCTGTAAAACAGGGATAACAATGCTGTGCACCACTCATGAGTGTTACCTGTTAATATGATTTTCACTTTTTTCCTCTTGTCCTGGGAACTGCTGTGCTCATTTTGAGGGAGGGGGTCCCCCAGTACTCTTGGAGTTTTGAGTCCAGCTTGAAACTGAAGTCCCCGCAGATTTCCCATAAACACATTTAGTTTTGCATTCCAATTTCAGGGATGTAGCCTTCCTTGGGTTAAGCAGAAAGGGGGCACCTCATTGTCTATGCCTGGACTTCCCCCTTCTCCCCAGCCTGTCCCCTTCCTCCAGCTCACAGCCAGGGAAACTCTCTAAGTGGATATTTGCCCTCCTCCTGCCTGGTACCTGCCATGGCTCTCCAGTGCCAAAGTCATTTTCAGACATTCTCACAAAGTGCTCTGAAGACCTCAGAGCCACCCTGCCTGTGCCTTTGGGGGCCTGGCAAGAAGAGTTGCTTCTCAAAGAGGACTTCCAGGACTCAGGTTAAATCTTTCAAATTCTTGCACATCTGACTTGTGCATTTGAGTAAAGATATCCCTTATATCCCCCCAAGTTTCAGTTCTCGTTTATCCTGAGTTTGCCTCCCCTTACCCCCCCAATGTGAGCTCAAGTCTGTGTGATACAAACCACAGACCCCTTCACCTCTCCATCTCCATCCCCCCAACACACCAGTCAAGGGTCTACTCAGGAAGCCTCTACCTCCCCTCTAAGCCCCCACCTGTTTGTATCTACCCCTTTTGCCCCCCACTAAGGGCTGGAGTGATCATGTCCAGCCCCTGTCTTGATCTGACTCATGTCTCCAGTGGTTTGACCTGATCCTATTCATGCTCCCAAAGTGGGCAGGCAGCCCCACTGGACCCCTCTTCATTCTCCTGTTTCCTTCTCATGGCAAGAGGCCCGGAAAGGCCAAGTGATTTCCCCCAGGTCACACAGCAACAGGATTTGAACCCATTTCTTGTGAAGATAAGCCCCTAACTCCATTCGTCATGCCAGGCCTGTTTCCTGCACCTCTCCCTGACTTGGGTCTCTTTTCTTCTCAAACGCTTGTTAGAAAAGCTGCTGCACCTGCAGCTTCTAGATTAAGCCCTAAATCTTATCTGGGTCGCATGCTAACCCTGGAGATGAGGTGCACAGTGTGCCAGGTGTTATGTGAGTATGTGTACAGATCTTAAAAATGCTGCTCTCCCAAGGAGTTATCCCATCTGGGAAGCTGCTGGGTGTGATTAGAGATGGAGGAGGGTAGGGATAAATCTTGGGGGTTGGCCAAAGTTGCATAGGTGCCACAGAGAGTTGGGGTGGAGGGGTTATTTTGTCTAAAGGCCCTAGGGGCACCCCAAGGAAGTTCATGGCAAGCAGGAGGGAGCAGGAGGTGCCAGCTGCTCAGACCTGAGTTCGGGTCTGCAGGCCTGACCTTCACCTCCAGGCATAAGTCTGAAGCCTGATTCCAAAGCCCATCTGTATGACCCTGTTAAAGGTTTGACATGGTGGTCACTGAGTGTCCTACAGCTGCTTTTGTAATTCTGCCTTGACAAAAAATGAACCAGTTTCCTTCAAGCCAGGTCAGTGCGACTCAGTGTCTGTGACTTCCTTCTAACTCTCCAGGGCTCAGTGTTTATGAGGTGCCAACTGTGACAGGCACAGTTCTTTCTTAACATGAAAGTGCAGGAGCCTGTTCTGCAGCATTGGGCTTTTTGGGTGTAAAGAGTGTTGGGGTTTTTGTGACTTTCTCTGCAATGTTTGGACAACAAATATTAGATAAGGTGTCCAGGGAGTTATGAAGCATTTAGAATGTGTCAGGCACATTGCAAATACCATCTTGTCACAGAGTCAGAGAGTCCTTGAATGAGGAAGGGGCTTGCCCCAGGCCATACAGTGAGGGGGTTGGGACCCTTGTCAGTCTGACTGCAAAGCTGGTTTGACCACTAGCCTATGCTGTACCCACAGTCCACATGTCTGCCTCTGACTGAGCCTTCACAGCCAGTGCCAGTTACCCTCTTCCTGGGAGGCTGCCCTGCTGCCCTGGGCAGAGCTCTTGACACTGCCCTGTACCCCCCAGTCCTCTCCTCCCACTGGCCCAGGCTTGGGCCCTAAAGCGGGGTGTCCCTACAAGTTTGGCTCTGTTCTTTCCATACTGGGGCTCCTCAGGAGTCAGGCCCAGGGCTAAGGTCATCTGGGCCCCAGCAGGGGCTGGGCCCAATGCTCACTATGGAACTCTGGGGTAAGTTTGCAGAATGAATCAAACAGCCCCACACCCTTCAGGGGCAGGATCGTAAGCCTGAAAGATAAGTAAGACAGACACAATTCTGTTTCTTTTCCCTCTGTTGAATTCCAAATACAAAGCATAAGTTGGAATGTGGCCCTTGCTGGTGTTACAGCCTTGCCCTGGTTCTTGAGTCTTCTTTGGGCCTCAGCTTCCCTGTGTGTAAAATGGCTGGGAGGATCATGGACTGTACACCTTAGTCTCTGAAAATGGGCTTCCTGGCAGGGTTGAGGCAGGATGTGGGGGCAAAGGTCAGCAGTGGCGGATATCACTGCCCTGGGAAGGGAATGGACAGGAAGCAGGCAGGCTGGGGCTCCTGGTTGTTTCCATACTGGACAGACGGGGTCCAGAATCTAGACTATGCTGCAGAGTCCCTAACATCAGGTGGGTGCTGAGACCCATGCTCTCTGGCTTCCTGAAGCACAAGGAACAGAAGTGGATTCTCTCAACAACTTCTACCTCTGTTTCCCAGCTGGACTGGTCTTTGGGCCCCATGGGGCCCTGGCTACTGTTTGGACCTCTGGAATCTTGGGTTCCATGCCCAATCATAAGAAGGCAATGTTTGTCCCCATTTCACAGATGACAACACTGACAGTTCAGAGACGGGGAGCAATGCACCCTGAGACACAAAGCTAGAAGACCATCCAACTTGCATTCAAGCCTAAGTCCAATAAGAGGGTGGTTTCGTGAAGGGAAAAAGAACAAAATGAAAATTCAAGTGGAGGCTGGAGAACCTGTCCCTGTTTCCTTGGCCACAAAGGTGGCTGAAGGTTTAAGGACCCTTCTCTTTTGAATCTGTGTCTGCCTTGGGAGGCTCTGTAATATCAGTTATTCACACCTTAGTAAAAATTAGTCATAAATTTGCTTTTCTCTAAATCCCTAACTAAGGCCCTCCTGGTGAGTGCTAAATGATGGATGGAAGTGACAGCTGAGAGCTAGCATTGGATGGGTGTCTGCTTGCAGGGGTGGGCATAGGAAAGGAGGAGGGGAGTCTGTGACAGGGAGCATTTGGGTGAGGCTTGTGTGCTGGATGTGTCACAGTTGCTTAGGGCAACCCCGGGACACTGGGGGATGGGGAGGCCCAAAGGGAAGTGGGGTGGAGCAGGAAACAGTCCCACACTTATCAAGCACTTTCTCAGTCCAGGCTCTAGGACAAGGGTTCCAATTGCCCCTCTGCCCCTTCACCTTGAATCCTGCCATGGCAATAAGGGAGGCTGTCACTTTCCCTTCTCACACTGGTGGAGGCACCGAGAGGTGAAGGTTCCAGGTCCAAGGTGCTCAATGACTAAGCCATGAATGGGGTCATTCTGAACCTAGAGCTTGTGCTTTTACCTGCCAAGCTGGCCTGGCATCTGGGCTGGGCAGGGTTGGGCACCTGTCATCACCCTGGGTGTCTCCTTGGAGCTTATCTGAGACCCAGATGCTCCTACTCCTGAGGGCTTGGTGGTTGACCCTGGTGGGGTGCCTGTGGATGGTTCCTGTGGGAGCAGGGAGCTGTGGACAGGAGGGACCCTCTTCCTTCTGCCTGCTGCTTAGGTCACCTGGACCCACACGACTGACTTCTGTTCTGCCCCACACCACTGCCCAGGCCAAGCCTCTGCCTCACTGCCCCTCCATTGGCTCCCTGATGTACCCCTGTTTCAGGAGCCCCCCAAGGTCTCGTCTCCAAAACTTGGGATTTAGGACCTTTGCCTTCCGTGGGCACCTCTGCCTTCCCCAGCCAGACTTACAGCAGGGACACCCCCAGACATGTATTCTCATGTTCACCCTCAATTCTCTACCCACCCCGGTGTCCTGACCTTCACTGAGCTGCCCAGTAGCTATTATAGCTGAACCCACCACCACCACCACATTCCTCACAGGTTCACAGTCACACCTGCACATGGACATGGGGCCATCACCGCTCAGACACAGATCCACACTTTTTCGATTCACACTCTGATGTGCACACACAGCTCCTTACTGTCACCTTCACCTTGACGTGCACGCCCAGACAATGCACATTCCATTACAGTCACGCCAGCTTTCACATGAGCGCACCGCCAGCCTCTCCCCAGACACAGACACACGCCCATGCTGACTCCACACCAACACACACAGGCTCACAGGCACATCACTCTTTCATATTCACTTCCCCACAGGCACGAGCTCACTCTCTCCATGCACATTCGTTCTCAGTGACCTTCACTTGAGACTCTCACCACCCAAATACACACATGTGCACACACAGAAAACTCAAATACACATGGATACACTTTCACACATTTATTGTTCCTCTGACCACACCTTCTAGTACATACACCTTATGATGAAACCCCGACATATATATGTGTACTCCCATGTCTGCACCCGCACCCAAACCCACACCAACACTGAGTGTGTCCACCATGCACACGCGCACACACAAACACATACACACACACCCCTCTCTGCCTCTCCCCTCTCCCTCTGTCTCTATGTCTCCTCTGCTCCCATTGGGAGTGAGTCCTGTCACCCTTCTTTCTCCACTCCAGGTACCTCTCTGAGGAAGACAACAGTCCCCTCACTCTTGGTCAGAAATCAACCCCTGTCCCCACCCCAACTCCAAGGTTCCAAGGTTTCCTTAACACCCATCCTGAGCCCCACAGCCTTTCTTCCCTGGGAACCAGATCAGAGAAGGCATTGGAGAGCTGAGTGCAGCCCAGCGGAGGCATCTCACCTGCTTGCACTTCTCCTCTGCCACTTTCTTATCTGACTCCGCTTGCTCAGCCCGGTCGATGGCATTCTCCTTGTCTAGCTTGAGCATCTGCATCTTCTTCTTGATGGCCTCCATGGCTAGGCTTGGGGAGGTGGGTGTGGAGGGTGTGCAGTGGGACTTAGGCTGCCGGTGAGTGAGCAGCTGGGGTGGAGGGAGGCCCTTATAGCCTCCCAGGCGCACCGCCCAGCTGCTGGGGTGAGTCTTGGAGGAGGCCCAAGACCAGGCTGACTGGGCTAGTTGCCACTCGCTTGCTTAGGAGGACTTGGCCAACTCATCATTCTCCCCACAGCCCTCACCTTATTTGGGCCTAGGATTTTCTGAAAGGAAAAAAAAGGCCTGATCTGTTTCCGTTTTTAACCTGGTGACACAGGTCCCTGTGGACCAGCAGGCACAATGCTGGCCCAGAAGGACCCCAGCTAGGGCCCTGGAGTAGGGGTCAATTTCCTGCTTGTAATTGGGAGGGCTGGAGAGGACTTGTTGGTGGGTGCAAAACAGGGGTACTGGGGAGAGTCGCCTGCCCACCCATCTCTTCCCCTCTGGGTTCTCATCCCATCTTCTGTGACTCTGCACTCCTCCTGCCCCTTTCGGATGGGCCTTGGTCTCTTCCGGTGACTCTATGTCTCTGTCTCTGTGCCTTTCTTCATCGTCTCTTTCTCTCTCCAGCTCTGTTTCTGTGTCTCTCTTTATCTCCCTCTTTCTTATCTTCTCTCTTTTTTCCCATCTCCATTTCCCTCTGTTTCCTCATCTCTTTGGTCTTTTCTCTGGAACTCTGTATCTCCATGTCTGCCCCATTATGTTTCCACCTCTTCTCCACCACCGCCACATGCAACAAGCTCACTCAGGTGAGAAAGCCTCTATGTCCATCTCTCTGAAACTCCCAGGCCCAGCACAGCTTCCTGATGCCTCTCAGGCCTCATCACCCACTGCCCTTCCCCCATTTAGAATCCTCTTGTGGCTGTCCACCACCCTCAGAACAGGAGGTGCCTTAAGGCCCAACTTCCCAAGTCTTGCCATCTTGGAGCTTAGAGCCCTTCCAGCCGCTTCCTAGTCCAGGCCTCCGAGTCCCATCTCCAGGCCTTTGCATGGGTTCCTCTCTCCTCCAGCTATTGGGACAGGAAGGTTTATTCAGAAAGATTTATTCACTTGATGAACACAGAATGTCTCTTGGATTGGACCCTAGCATCACACTCTAGTGTGGGAGTTATTACTATTATTATTTGATCATTGCTTTTGGATTGTGAGCTGCTACGGGGCCAGCCTTTGCCTTCTTGCCTCCTTGGTCTTATCTGTGGCCCCTGGAGTGTTTGGTTCCCAGAAGGTAAGAGTATCCTTGCTAATCAAAATACAATTCCCTTTATGTACTATGTGCTCTCTCCTTTTCTCTTTCTGTAACACACACATAACTGTCCCTTTCTCTCTCTCTTTCTCTCTCTCTCTCTCTCTCACACACATGCACACACACACACGCACACACACGCACACACAGAGTTATCTGACTAGGAGATTCCTATTCATTCTTCAAAGCCCAGATCAGAAGATCCCTCCCCCTGGACTCCTAGATAGAGTCTTGCACCCTCAGCCAACATCAAGACGTCTATGTGGGATGGTGTGTAGGTTGTGAGGCTTTGCATTTCTTGCATAAAGGGACTGGGCAGTGCAGTGCCTCTGGGGAGTCTGGGGATCAAAGTTATTAAGTTCCCAGATCCCATCTGCCCCAGTCCTGCTTGTCCACTGCCTCTTAAGCCGGCCTCCTCTTTGCCATGGTGAAAACTCCACCCACATTGGCCTGCGGGCTGAAACAATAGCAAACAGAACATTCTGGAACCTCTCTCATGCTCCAAGGATATTGACTTCTCTCTGTGTTTTAGAACCGAGGGGGCTGAGTCTAGACCCTTCCCTGCTTCCATACTTCCATTTTCTATCCCTTCCCCATATCCGGGAGGGCAGACTCAGACTCTTTGTTTGATGAAAGCAGACTATCATAATCATGTCTTGTAGAATGTCAATGACAAATAAAGAACACGAGATAGATAATGAAGTAATGTTCATGCCAGCACCACACTAAATATTTACACCATCCCTACTCCTTGAGCTCAAAGAACAGGGGACCATTTATAGTCTCAGTTTCTAGAGAAAGAAACTGAGATCCAGAGTGGTTCACTAGCGTGTGAGTGCTAGACCTGGAAACTGAACAATTGATTTTAGAACAGAGCGACATAAGACCCCTCACCATGCTTTCCTGGCCTCAATTCCTATCTTTTAACTGTTTCAGGCTGAGTCATTAGAGGTCAACACTCTCCACCTCCATAGACCCCCACCTCCACTGTCCCCCAGATCCTGGGACCAGCATCACCAAAGGTGGTGTGGCTAATTCAAGACCTCTCCTAGGACATGCTGCCTCGCTTGGTGGCCATGTAGGGCAGGCTTGTCCCTGGAATGGTTTCTTGCGTAGGGAGCTCCCAGAGGGGAAATCTGATGCCAGGGGCCAAGGAATGGCATTAAAGGTCAACACTCTCCACAGACAGGCTGTGCCCCCTGTCTGTAGCCTTGGGACCAGAGTTATGCCTTCTCTGTGTATCTTCCCCAGGGATACCCCAGGAATCCTGGTCAGGGCCAGCTGGGCCATTAGGGGTTCCTGGCCTCTGAAGATTCTGGTCTAGCTGTCTATGGTGTATGACTTGGGGCATGAGATGGGCAGAGGCCACCATTAATAGTGCAGCAATGAGCATCTCTCCTATACCTTAATTCTCCTGTTGGAGGCCTCTGAGGATAGAGTGGGGGCAGAGCTCCCTATTGCCATCAGAGTCACTATACAGTCATGAGACTCAGGGTCATTTATGGAGCATCTACTGTATACCAGGCACCTTGCAGGTTTTGGGGGTACAGTGGTGGACATGACTCAACCCAGTGGGGAGAGGCAACCTATACATGCAGGTGATTACAGAATTCATGATGATGGGGCAAATTGCTACCTTAGGTTAGACTCATCTAGAGGCAGACCCTGAGGCAAGCATTGAAGGGCAAGTGATTTATTTGGGAGGTGCTCAAGGAGAAACCAGTAAGGGGTGGGGAAGTGAGACCCAGAGGGAAGAAGGCCTGTAAAGGCTGCATGACGGAGCTAGTTACTAGGATGGAGGGCAAGGGGCACTGTCCTACCAGGCACCTGTGGGAGGCAGGAGAGAGAAGTCCTTTGGAACTGTAGGCATCGAACTGAGGGAGTTGGGGTATTTATCCACCCATCCTCTCCTCTTGATTGCTGCTCCCCTTCATGCATTTGCCAGAATTTCTGACCAAACCTTGTGTGGGCCATGCCAACCTCAGCAAATGGAGAAAGACACCCCCTACCCCCATACAGGTGCTGGAAGAAGGAAGGAGAGGGGGCTGGGAGGAGATCAGTGGGAGCCAAGGGGACCTGGGCAGACATTGAGAATGGATGAAACTGTTAATGGAACATGTAACACAAAGACCTGATTAGTCCTGAGAGTAAATGAGGGAAGTCTTCCCTGAGGAAGTGGCAATTGCCCTGAGGCCTGAAAGAGGAGTCAAAGGTGGGTTGGAGGAGATAGAGACCACAAGAAGGTGGGACTAAGAGAGATGAGTGTGTGTTGATTGTAGAGAGAGACTGGGCAGGGGCAGTGTGGTGGATGATGAGGTTGCCAGGATCAGACAACAGAGAGTATGGGGGTGGCCACCACTGTGTCACCTGGAGTTTAAGGTATGCAGGGAACTAGAGGGACCAGAATGAATTTGCCAAGTACTGGAGGAAAGGAGCAAAGATGTTCTTCCTCCCTATGCAGTCTTGCTCATTGAATAATGATATGACAATGGTAATGAAAATGGCAATGGCTAAGGATGACCCAGAGTGTGCAACATCTCAGGGAACAGGGGACTCATTGGTCTTTTGCCTGCAGCCTGGTGCAGTATGTACTTGGAGGCCCCCCAGGAGGGAGGCTGCTCAGCCAAGGTCATAAGTCTGGCAGGTGGCAAGGCCAGTATTTGAACTTGAGTCGGATTCCCTGGTACCTGAAACCAGTTTCCTGTCCAGTTGCCCCTTTATTAGGAATTCCCCTGGGGAGCAGCAAGTCAGTGTGGGGGTGGGTGGGGAGGGAGAAATGGACCGATAGCCTCCTCGAGTAGCTGAGACAGATTCCGAGGGAACTGTGTGGGTTACAGAGCTTGCCAACAGATGCCGAAAAACAGGCACAACCACAAGCTTTGCTGCCTCATCATGATAATTAATAATAATTATAGCTAACACAGACGTGGCCCTCAATTTACTTGCGCTGATCTAAGTGCCTTGCATATAAGCATATATGTATATTTGTGGCATGTGTGTATGTATATATTTATTTACAAAATGGAAGTATAAATGAAATTATTTTAGTTTCAGGTGTACAACATAACGACTTGACATTTCATACATGTGAAATGATAATCATAACAAGTTACTGGTCATGTCTCCTTATAAACTTTCAAAGTTGCAATACCGTATTATTTATTATAGTCCCCATACTGTACGTCACATCTCCTTGCCTCATTTATTTTGTAACTTGAAGTTTTCCTCAAGTTTCTTGACCCCCCTTGTCCATTTCACTCACCCTCCAACCCTTCTCTTTGGTAACCACCAACCCATTTTTGTCTCTATAATTTTTTTAGATTCCACATATTGTATTATTTTTTAGATTCAGCAAATAAATCTTTTTTTAAATCTTCAAATACTTTATTTCATTTGCAAGTCTTTGTTTTCATTCTTCCTGATTTTATTTATTTATTTTTATTTTAACATTTATCATTTTTAAAATGTTTTTAAACAATATTTGTTTTCCCCCACCCTCTCAGATTGAGTCCCCATAGAATTTCCTTCCCCAAGGAATCCATGCACCATCACCACAGTCCCCTATGCTCCTTCCTCCCTTCCTCTGATCCCTCTCCCTCCTCGTCCCCTGCAGGATGTCTCTGGTTTATAATTGTCTGTTTTTGCTTTGTTGTGTTTTGTACTGATATTATTATTATTTTTAAAATAATAATTGGTTATTTGGTTCCCCTATATTCACGTTATAAGTGAAACCTTCTGATATTTTTCTTTTTCCTTCTGGCTTATTT